GATTCATTGAGATCTAACAAAACAATCTCTCATATATTTATCTATAATCAACTTTCTATTCGATAGTCTTCTAAATTATCGCATAGTTTATTTTGATTTTAAAAAACGTTTTTGCTGAGTTCGTATCCCCAATTTCCAAAGCAACTCGTGATTAATCATTTATCAAATCAGATTTTATTAAAATTTCTTCATCAATAAACGATCTTCGAACATTGTTTATAGATTTTGTTTAATCATTGATTGAGTGCATAGAGTCGAATAATAATTAAAATATTGAATGGAAGCGTATAGAGATATGGATCAGGATTACTTTGAATATATTAAAAAGTGTTGCTCTGGCAGATTAGTGTTACCACCAGTCCGCACAATTTCGTCATCGCAACATGTATTTGATCAGTAAAGATCATTTACCTCTTGGTAAGTTGTAATAAGCAATTTATCTCGATGGTGTGTTGAGCACGACATCTAACTTGTCTTTATATATATCGCATCGAGGATTTAGAAAGAAAAAGTGAAATGTGTAAAGACCCAGTAGATGTCGTGCTTCACACGCCATCGAGAAAAGTTGCTTATTACAACTTACCAAGAGGTAAATGATCTTTACTGATCACAAACATGTTGCGATGACGAAATTGTGCGGACTGGTGGTAACACTAGTCTGCCAGAGCAACACTTTTCAATAAAATAATATGAAATTTCATTTACTCTACAGTTGATTATTCGGTTTCATTCTTACACCACAAGTCTTTTATTGTAGGTTGTCGAAAATAATATATGAAGAGATATATATATAACTATACTAATCGTTTAAGTTTGTCATATAATCATATACGATAAATATAAAAGAATTAATGCTTGAAAAAAACAATATAAACATTTAGTATTCATTACATCATGAAATATGTGACTAAGTTCACTTGAGAAAATCGTTTTTTATTGCTGCTGTTATATATTTGATTTATTAAAAGTGAATCAGATGATGATAAATAAACAACGTATAATAAACATACTTAGCTATAGAGAATCTAACTCTTTGAATAATTACAATACATTCTACACTTCAGAATTGTAATAAGAAAGGTTTTAGTCAAACAAAATGTGAATATAACTTCTAATGAAATGAAATATGTTGAGAACGTTTGATTTATATTATTTTTCTTGTATAAAACAAAAAGATGAATTAGCAAATATCGATGCTATACTACAACACGTGTAGGTTATAATTTGTTTCGTCAATTTTCATCTCTTTTTCTTCTTCTCCTTAATCAATCGGCAAAAGAGATTCATTTTTAATAATAGGTTTAGATGATAGTTTTCTACTAATTCATAAACTAATATTTAAATTATTCTCTGACTGTGAATTAGATTGTTAAAAAATTGCATCTCGAGGGTGTCGGCGTAGATCTCGATGGAAAAAGTAATCATACCAACAGCCTGGCATGAATACAGTATTCATATCTACACAAGATTATCACGATAAAATGAATAGAATAACAAAAATTGATAATTCATGTCAACGATTGTAACAACAAATAACAAGAATAGCGGAAATATTAATCGAGATATGATGAAGAATTTCTAAAGAAAAGAATTAAATTATCTCACAGAAATCGACGAAAACAAACCGCTATCCATATATCTATTATTCTGAACTTTTCTATTTCCAAGTTATGAATAGGAAAATTTTAAACTTCAAATATTGATATTTGTTACGAAATACCTGGGAAAGTACTATGTAATTAATCGAGTTATACTCTATAACTTATAGAGATTTTATTTTCTCAAATATTTTTTCTATTTTACAATAGATTATATCGATGTCAGTCTTTGGACTGCATTGAGATCCAAAACAATTTTTGATCTCGAAAGAATTGCGTTGAAAGATTTTTTTAAAGTAACGTTCCGTGAACAATTATATTTTGATAATCTTTTTGATTGACAGGCATTGTCCGCGGTAGTATAGTGGTTAGTATCCCCGCCTGTCACGCGGGAAACCGGGGTTCGATTCCCCGCCGCGGAGTATTATTTTTTTTGTCAGGTATGAGCGATAGCATATTCGTCGTTTTTTTATTGCAGATAATACACCTTTCTTTTTTTTTAAGATGAAAACGAGAATATAAAGAGGATTTTTTAACTGTTATTGATGAACAGATTAAATTCAATGGAAAAATGACCATACGTCAGCAGCGTGGCGCAGTGGAAGCGTGCTGGGCTCATAACTCAGAGGTCGGTAGATCGAAACTACTCGCTGCTACATACCTTTTTTGTTTCTCTTCTGCGTTTTATTTTTGAAATTACGAAAGATTAGAAGTACTTTTATTCGAGGACATATTGCTTAAATAACTCTAATTCTAAATATTCCCTTTCCTGAAAGAAAGGGTTATAGACTTGTTAAAATTCATTAAAGTTTTAAAGAAATGTGCGTATTTCTTTTTTTTCATATCTGAATCAAACGTAATGAATTGAATGGTGTTCATGGATGTGATGTGTCACAAGGAATGGTTACATTATAAAAACTCTAGTTGAAGTAATCAGAGGAAAAGTTACGAATTCAATATCAGTTTTAACCAAACGTCATATCGTTCAATAGAATTTTAGCAGAAATATGTGAATAAAAGCGAGGTATCTGTTTCTGACCCTGATGTTGGACCTTCATCGATATCAGCTATATAAACAATATTTCAAAATATATGAAGATCTATGTTAAACAAGTATGCTCTATTCGTAGCAGCTCATAAAATAATACTTCCTCGTTTTAGTTTCTTTTAAGGTACCGTATTACTAGACGTTCATCGCGTTTTGTAGTGAGAATAAAAGAAAACTCATTTATTGTCCTCAAAAATGAAGGATATAGTGGAGATATTCATAGAAACGGCTAGTCGTGAGTGGTCGACCGATATATGAATCTCTCACTCACCACTAAACGCTGATCCACTCGTTAAAAAAAGAAAAAGGAAGAACTACGTAAATGCTTTCCTTCGTACAGCTTTAATAGAAAAAAAAATTTCATTAAGTTCACTTCATGGATAACCAAAGCCTTAATGACTAATAATTTCTTGAATTAAATTACTGCGTTATACATGTCTTTTTTACAATGGCAAAGTATGATGTTTAATGTATATATGTTATTATTCATTGATATAAATAAAAGCCGATATCATCGACATCACCATTGTTGGCTGTTCCTGTAAATCGAGTTATTGTAACAAGAATCGTCACTGAACGAGCGTGAACAGGTACAAGTCCAGTTGCTTGTTTAGCAACTAATAATGATCGATTTGCTCGATCGGTAGCAAGCACAGGTCCGATATATGTATTATTGCCTACCATCAGATTATTTCCATCAGAAAAAGTCAACATTATAACAACACTATCATTTTGAACAGTGATACCACCAAGCCATGCTGAAAGATTAAATTTTACTGTGAAACTATCAATAAGAACAGGATCGATCTGATTTGTCAAATTCACGACTTGCCACATCGATGTTGATGCTGAGTCATGACCCATAAAATAACATTTGCCACGGTCACTTAAAAACAAATAAATAATTAAGATACAAGTTATTATGCATCTTACTTCGGTCCGATAGTTGCAAAATTCTGATCTGGAAAAGAAGTATTGTTATAATATATTTGTGCGATAGGTCCGTTGACATTCCATCCCATTGGACTAACAGATGCATTCGAAGATGAGCAATTTCCAATTTCACCATTGCCATTTGTCACCAAATTGATGTTAAATAATGCTGAATAAAAATAAATTTATAAGTAATAAAATAAGTTAATTCTCAAAAATTAATGGATTCTTTCTTTGATTGATTTTGAAAGATTGAAACAGAAAAAATATTAGACTTAACGTTTTTAATTTGTTATTCTATTATTTATTTAAGTATAAATATCATTATAAACAAAACAGATATGTTCTGTATTGTAAAGCACACTAACCTAACTGAGTAGTTGTTGATGTAATTTGGTATGTTACCATATCGTTTGATTTGTTTTTATCTAAACAAAGAAAAACACCTAATATTTATAACAAGCTATAGTTTATTATTATATTTCATGATCAACAATCAGTATTATTTTTTGATGTTTAACTTGTATTATTAAAATATTTTTAGAATAGAATAAAATATCAGTAAATAGATGAGATCGCTAAGAATATTTGACAACTGACATTATTTCAAGAACGTGTGTCTTTATAGAGATAACTCAATATGTTCCAGTATATCATTTTACTATTATGCGACAAAACAAAAATCCTGAAAATAATGGATACTGAAAGAAAACTAATACTATGCTAAGACATAAATATGAATATTAACTGATAATAAGTAGCTCTGTCAATACATTCCATGATAAAAAATCGAAGATTCGATTGTAAGTATGATAACTCCATGGTACTCAGAACTACTTACGAGGGAACATCCCCAACTGAAGCATCGCTTTGAGGTTCGGATCCGATGCATAATGTAGACCTCAGTGAAGTATGAAAAACCCAAAAGGATAAGGGCCCATAGGCCTTCTGTCCCGAGTTATAGGCAATATACTGAAATTTTAGCCTATGGGAGGGTATGTAGAAATAAATCGAATGACGATATTTTGACCTGAGATTTTGCCCACAGAGAGGCATATATGTGAGTAGAATGCCCTGAAAATTTCAGCCCAAAAGAATGTTTTCTTCCCGAGATATTAAAGTCTCAAAAAACAGTAAATTCTACTATGTTTCGTGGGATATACGTGATTTTTTGAGACTTTAATATCTCGAGAAGAAAACATTCTTTTGAGCTGAAATTTTCAGGGCATTCTACTCACATATAAGCCTCTCTGTGGGCAAAATCTCAGGTCAAAATATCGTCATTCGATTTATTTCTACATACCCTCTCATAGGCTAAAATTTCAGTATATTGCCTATAACTTGGGACATAAGGCCTATGGGCCCTTATCCTTTTGAGGTTTTTCATACTTCACTGGGGTCTACATTATGCACTGGACCCGAAATCCAAAACGATACTTCAGTTGGGGATGTTCCCTCGTTAGTTACGATCAAGAAAGTATTATCTCAAAATATATTCAATTTCAGCTGATATACACAACAAATCTAACACATTTTATTTCTTCTAGATGATATGCTTCAACATTCGGTCAGTTTTCGATGTTCAACGCACTTTCTAATGATTCGAAGCAGTTAATTCATTGTTACATAGTGTTTAATGATTTTAAGAAGTACATATTAAGAAAGTCTTACCTGATTCACGTAGATATAATGTGAGAATCGTTGCAAATGCCACACCAACAATTAATCCTCCAATAATAAGTCCGTATAAAAGAGATTTTGAACAGCAACAGGACCATCTTTATAAAACTCATCAAGATAATTGAATAGAAATAAAAAAGAATAGGTCTTACTGTGACAAATTAGTATATATTGGTTTGCTCCATTTATTAGTCTGTTGATTGTTATCATTTTGTTCTGGATTAACTCTATTATATGTGACTTGCCAGATACTGCGTTGATCATATTTCATTGTTGAATTATATTATGTTAACTATAAGAATATATATCAAAATGAATATTTTTATATAATACTTCATAGAGAATAGAAGAAAAAAAAAGAATAGATTATTGAGTATAGCATTCATATTCCAGACTATACATGAATTTGTAGGAATTCATTTGATTATATATGTCTTTCTCACTATACTCTCATGCAAAACAATTATTAACAGTCTCGATAAAATTTACAGCATCTCATGATCAAGAGAAAAAATTCTTTATTCATATAAATTCAACATGTTCAAATAAGAATTCAGAAAGATAAATTTTTTTTAGATAAAGATCTCCTTGACAATAAGTAAGTATACCTTGATGATGCTCCTACAGCAAATAATGGAAAGAAACAGTTGAAAGCAATGTATTTTCATGTTTTCTCTTTAATCAAATTCATTATTAAAAACTAAAAATAATTATTTTTATTAACATAAAGAAAACTTATATTAGATAATTCTATTTGACATTCGTTCTTTTGAAAATTCTATACGAATATTGAATTTTATTGCACTACTCATGAAAAATTCAAAGTTATATTTGTATATCCAGATATAAAAGTTAAATAATCTAATGAATAGATTATCTAAAGCAGGATAATAATATATTCAATTAAAAAAATTTGCCCAAGTAAATAAAATTGATCGAACACGCACATAATTTATATATAATGAGGATTTATTTTAAAGTTAAATTCTTTCAGGATTAAAGAATATCATTTTTCACGTTTGTTATGATAGAGTTTATCCAGTTAAAAGACTTATTTTTATATGAAATGTAAAATTATTTAAAGAAAAATGTCCATAAAATGAAATGATTATTCGATACAAATGTCTCTTCATATATTAATAACAGTGCCCTTTGTAAAAATTGTTGGATTAATATTTCTTGTAAGTGGTTTATTTGGAAATCTATTCAATATAACAATATTTATTAAAAATTCAATAAATAATTCTTCCACATATTTATTATTTTTATCGTCATTATTTAGTTTAATTTATTTATTAGATGGTTTATTCACACGTATATTATCTGTTGGATTTAATATTGATCCAACACGTACGAATTTAATTTGGTGTAAAACAAGAACTTATATTGGTCAAACAACTTCATTAATATCGTTAACATGTATTTGTTACGCTCTATTAGATCAGTTGTTTTTATCGTGTCAAAAACAAAAATATCGTCGTTTAAGTCAATTAAAACGAACTAAATTTATAACATTAATTATTATTTTATTTTGGTTTATTTATCATTTACCATTTTATATATTGGCACAACATGTTAATAATGGAAATAACACATTTATTTGTAATATTTATGCTATATATGAATTTAATAAATATTTTTCATATATTCATCAACCAATTATTGCTGGAATTATTCCTATTTTATTTATTATCATTACTGGAACATTAATGTATCAAAATATAAGTTTATTACGAAAAAATCGTCGTCGTGACCGCGCTCAACGAAATCTAACAACAATGATTGTTGCTCAAACAATCTTTATAATAATTCAATCAGTTCCATATGGTTTTTATTCGATGTATTTATCAATAAGTTCATATGAAAATAAATCAATATATAGACAAGATATGGAATCAGTTATTCTTAATTTAGTTAGTATTTTATATTATTTTTCTCATTGTTTTTCATTTTTAATTTATTAGATATCATCAGTTACTTATCGTCAACAAACAAAACAATTATTAATTAAAATTTTCACTCATCATATAAATACAATTATTTCATAAAGAAATCTATTTAATTAATTTCGTATTGAAAACTTGTAAAGATTTATCTATCTTTATGTCATTTGATATTAAAAATTTAATTGGGTGTCATTTAAGTGGTCAGTAGAATAAATGAAATGGCCAGTAATTAATTTGATAGGTCCATAATAAAATTTAAACGATTAGTAAATAAAATGAAAATGGAAAGTAAAAAAATATAAATTTGTACAAAAATAGTCTACTTTTCTCTTTTTACTGACAAAAATCATATTTTTTACTGCTATTTTCACAAAATCTACTGACCACTTTTGAATTGTTTACTGATTTTTTTGGAAACTGACCAATTAATGTATTTACTGATATTTCAGTTATTTTACTGACCGCAGAACATATTCGCGATTTAATTTACATATGAATTTACTACACCTTCCACATATAACCAAACGAATTTGACATTTATTTTGCAAAAAAAGTGATATTTTTATGTAACAAAGTAAATTCCAGACTTGTCCAAAACAGCATTTGCAGTTTTTTTTGGGAAGAAATCTCATAACATATCCTACTCAATCAGCCTATACGATTAGGGAGGGTATTTCCCCCCGTTAAATTTTTTCTTCTCTTATAGCTTTCTCCATAAAAATTTTTATTAACTACTTTTTGGTACTCTTTATAATACTATTTTAAAGGATTTATGCAAAAGAAAAAATTTACTTCTAAATTTATAAGGCGAAACGTACAGTTTCTTCAAAAGAGAGAGAGAGAGAGTAATTTTGAAGATTTGACAAAAATTAATTGTTGTGAGTGTAGAAAAAGGCTTTTACTATAGTTTTCATGTAGAATTAGTCGTTTTCTTGACAAGTGAAAATTTTATATGATCTGTAGGTCATTTATCTCCGATCTTAAGATTTTCTCCCTGTTCTAGGGTGACTTTCTCCTTGATTTCTTTCCCCTCCTAAATAAAATCAAAAGAAGCTCTGTATTCAATGCAAAATATCATTCTCTATAAACTAACCCTTTCTTAACGAAAGACATTTGCTAACTTACTGTTTACTTGATGAACTTTCATATCAATGAAGAAATCGTATAGACTTGTATTGAACACTTTATTACATGGAATGCCAAGGACATGAAACCTGTAGGATAATATTACGATTTGTTTTGAGTATTTTTTTATACGAATGAAAATATTTAAAAAGAAAATCATATTAACCATAAAAAGATATACAAAAATTCTTCGAATGATAATTTGTTTTAATGGTATATATCTCAAATTTAGATCTATTTATATCAGTGTTAATGCGACCACAAAATCTCTACAAAAATAACATAAGTCTTTCATTGAATTTGATAGGATACATGAGAATTTATTTTATATAAGCATTTTATTTTCATTAAATACCCAAAAATTGTTTAATACAAAGATGGCTAACACCACAGTGAAATATATTTTTAGATACTAAGTTATACACTAATGTTCATTCGACAAAAGAAAAGTCCAGAGTATTTTATGATAGAAATAAGATATAGAGCTGCGAGTTGCACCGTTATAGAAAGAGAAAACCAAAAGATATTGATTTATGTATTGTATATTTTCCAAAAAAATACAAGAGAATAAGTTTTTTTCTCAAAATAGAAAGACAAAAAAATGATCTTTTAAGGAAAAAAGCAAGTAGATGATCACTGTCAATTACCTATCACATCTAAACTAATAAAATAAAAAATACATTTCAATCTTTTTCAACAGTGAAAACCGATACTCTCTACCTTGCTTCTATTAAAAATTATTCAAAAAATACACATAACTCTTCGACATCGAAATGAATATAAGTATGCGCGATACATAAAAACCACAAAATAGATAAAACTTACAACAATTAGAAGGAATATATGAATAAAAAGACAATGTTAATGTAATCGAAATAATTTCGCCAATTCCTTTCGAAATATAGGACCACATAATGTGTAGATGTAAAACTTAATTGCATTATTAAGAAAGTAAGCTTGTACAGCGACATTGAAAGCTGTATTTTCAATTGCTTGACGAAAATTAGATTTTGTATTATAAACTGTTGCCACAGAATAGAATTTATACATATTAACAGGCCATGAACAAATAATGAAAGCTGCAACCTATATAAAAAAAAAGAAAATGAATCATTAGAAAGGTATATGTCTCTTTTTGATTTACTTGAATAACTAATAATACAAGTAATTGGCCATCGCGCTTTTGAGCTCTTCGTTGCATCTTTAGCAGCAATGATTCAGTATTTGAAAGAGTTCTGATCTTTACTAGTGGTGGTTGCTGTTGTTGTGCATTGAGTGAACTTGTCGCTGATAATGGTACTGCAGGAGTGCATATATTTTCCTGTCTTATTGGGTTAATTCGACAACATTTTCGACGAACATTTCGTATAACTAATGAGCCAAAGATAGTCATCAATATAGCTGGTATTAGAATCTCCAATAGAAATTGCATTAAACTATCGGCAATTTGACATGCAATATTTCGTTTTAATTGATAACATGATTGTGGTGCTCCTAATAATTGTTGATTTATATTAATACAATAAAATTGTTCACCAAATGCTACAAATCCCGTTATTAGAATGATAATAATAGAAATATACGCACGTTTAGTTGTTACAAATTGACGTTTGTTAACATTTGCTGATGAACAAAGATATCGTTCAATACAAGCTAAACTTATAAACCAGGCACCACTATATGCAGAATAATATGTTATAAAAAATCTCATTTTACAAAATCCGCTTGAAAATTGTGTTGGATCAACATTAAATCCAGTAAGAAGACGTGTAAGAAGGCCAATACCAAGAGAAAATGAATCCGCTACAGTTGATGCCAAAAAATAAATAACACATATATTATTACGAAAGGTATGACGAGTAAAGACAAACATATTTAAAATATTGCCAATTACACCAAAGAAAAGAAGAGGAATTGGAACATAACGATTAATTGTTTGGTTCAATAAAGGAAAATTTACTGATGAACTATTACCCATGTTATCTCTGAAGAAAAAAAAGTAAATTAGAAAAGATTCTCTTCTGCGTGCTCATCTGATCGATTTAATTATCATTTTATCGGTTTTTCCGATTCACAACATGATTTTTGTCCTCTGTGTCAACAAATTATCAATTTCAAACTAATACAACGCCAAGTATCGTTCTCTCCTTGTCACCTTGGTGTATGTCGTTCTTTCTCTTATAACTTCTCATTCCTTCCCATCTGTTACAAGACTCAAATTCTTCTATTATGCTTTTGCGTATAAACTTTTCACGAAGATCTTCTCATATGAATTTTCTAGAAAACAATTCAAGTGCAATTTTATTTGACTTGTTCGTGTTCAACTGTCGTTCTCAAATTTGGTTTATCTATTCTATATTTTTATCATCATCGGATAGTCAAAGAAGTTAACTTTTATAGATCAAAATTCTTTTCATGCAAAAAAAATAAAAAGATTCAGAGACTTTTTTCAAGACTTGACTGCTCTAAAATGAAATTTAATACTATAAAATTCTTCTAATACGCAGAAGGATCTAATATAACTATAGTCTGACTCACAATATATTTACCTCTGTTTTTATGTGTATTTTCCAACATGTTCTAGAAATTTTTTCAAAAGTAAATGATCAAGGCCAAATAAGATCGATCCTCTCTAATAAAGTATTTTATATATATACCCTGGACAAACACTTATTATTTTAATCAATTGCACCTGCTATTTTCATTTCTCACCCATGTATACTCTATGGAAGTCACGCAACATCATTTCGTATTCAATGTCTTTTTATGCACAGATTTTTAAATAATTCTACAACAAATACGATCAATAATATGAAGTAAATAGATAATAAGATATTATTATTAATTGAGCATATCTTCACATGAATACTCTTCAAATCCTATTGTTCCTGATGAACTCTAGGACTCAGTGCCGATAATCTTTTAATATAATCTCATCTTATGAAATCAAAACTTTCTTCTCTTCATTCAATTCAACTAATCTGGAGATAGTCACATATGAAGAAACAAAAAGAGAGACGAACAGTACTTCAGAAAGATCTCACATCAATACAATATGACAACTAATGACGGTCATTTTGGATAAGAGAAATACTTATCAAGTAAATTTCTAAAGTATATTCAAATTAAAAGTCTTTCAAAGTCACTTTAATTTTATATAAATCTCAAGTTCGCCTGACGAATAATATACATAGGGCAACGGCACACGGTGCAATCACAGAAAGGAGAAGAAAGCGTCGCGCTTCTAAATGTATAGTATAAACGTTGATATACAAAATTTACATGAAACTAGTGACATAGACACTATTAATTCATTCTATAGTGCAATTCTATTGAAGACACTGAGAATAATTTACAACTTGAGAATGATATAAAGAGAATTATCTTCAGTTACTTACATTCTTGAAACTGATTAGTAAGAAATTGATTTTGATTTGAATTATGATTGAAAATTAAGGGCAAATCTTGTCGTTTTTATAAATAAAATAACCAGATACTTATATATATCTTTGAAAAACTACTCTTGTATTTACTCTCCTACTATGACGTTGTTCTTCAACGGTATTTCGTCTGTCAACTATAAATAAATCCTAGTCTTAACTGTCAGAAGAGTAAGTTGTAATAGAATTTCCTATTTTCTTTTGTACTGTTCATTACAAAGTGCAAAAAATAGAAATAAAAGTCCAGCCTACTAATATTCTATATGAATCTGAAATATTAGATCTACTACGCAAAACAACAAGTAGTACTCAAAAATAATGATTTTTTTACTAATTAAAGTATTAGAAGAGAAATGTTGGATTCTCTCTCGTTCCCATAGATGTAACAGATATCATTATAATGCCTATGTTATGATATAAATAACAATCGATGTATTCTGTCATTGATGAATTCCAAGTGAAAAGATCTAACACTAGAAATACCTTTGTTTTATTTGCTTCAAAGTATAAATAGGAAGAGCATATATTATTCCCTACAGAGAAATAAACTACTAATTAAATTATATATTCTTCGAATTAGAATAATTAATCGATAGCAGAACTTCATTTTAGATGAACAACTTTTTTTTTGTAACCACATACCCAAATAAATCAAATATCAAATTATATTCAATAGAAAAAAGTCAGCAGTTATAATTCAATTTTTAAAAAAATTATATTTTTGTGAGTGCAATATGTATAGATTTACTTTATGACGAAGAAAGAATATAATATTAACATATCATAGTAATGCTAAAGAGGATTTTCTTTGTTTACGCTGATATGTAATATTAATCTTTCCATTACTTCATTCTTATTTAATAGGAATGAAATGATAAACGAGTGTTTATGCACTCGAGTGTTAGTGTGTATAGAATTATTATACATCAGCTTATGATGTTACTGTTATACATAGTATAATTACGAATCAGACATGATTCGTTTCATAGGTGTACTATTGAAAATATGTTCGCATACTACTAATTTTTTGAATAAAGATAGTAAAATTGATAGTGGCAATGCTATATGTATCTGTCAGACTCAAAATCGTCGTAAAAATATATTAATAACCTTTTATCATATATAATGCTGTCAATATGAAATAAGTAGGATAGTGAAGTTTTTATTTATAAATCAAATAAGATTTGATAAGGATTTATATCTTGTTCTTTTTTTCAATATTATCTACAGTTTTATCACATACAACAGCGACTTCATCGTCGTTGATGTCCTTATTGCTCTATAATATCTTATCCTAAGAGTCTTCATAATTCTGCTTTGTATTTGACAATAGATTTATCTGCACGACGAAAGATAAATCATACAAAGAATGTGAGATTAAAAGTGACCCATATAATTACTTGATCTTTATCTATTACTTGTTATTGTTGTTGTCCCTGACATGAGGACGTATTTTCAAGTTTAAATGATGTGTAAGGAAGGGATTTCATACAGAACGTCTTTTATGATACGATATCAATTTCTACTCTTATTTTCAATAAGAAAACAAATGCTAATGCATATATCTCTATTCTTTTTTCAACTCTAGAATATATCACATCGGCAAAGGAATATGCATACATGAACTTATTCTTTTTAACATTCGATTTATAAGCATATTCAATGGATTTAGAATATAAAAAACACATTGAGGGGATTATAACATTCTTTTCACTTCATAATCGATACTATTAATTCATACAATCGTATCTCTCACTTTATAACAACTAGAGAAGAGAAAAAAGACAAACACAGAAAGAGCAACAAGATGATAGTGTAACTCTTTTTAAATATTCGTTTATGATAAAGTTCAATGAAATATTATTACTTGTTGAAAAGGCACGATCATTTAGTTTAGTCAAAACAAGGTGAGCTCCACACAATATAAATTCCAAGTTTAGAACTCATCTCATACCAGTAATTTGAAGTTTATATGTGAAGTTCATATTCATTATGTCTTTTTGTCAAATATATTTGTTTCTATTCAGATTAATTATAAAATAATGTTGAATTATTATTTAATCATATTTATTTTTATATTAATAAATAAATGTTTAACTAATGAATGGGATTATAGTGCTCATGGGCCTGATGTTTGGGGCGAAACATTTTCATCATGTAATGGAGAACGTCAATCACCAATAAATATAAAAACAGCATGTACAGTTTATAAATCTTTTGATCCATTTATTTTTACACCTGAACATATTGAAGAAAATCATTTTTTAATACAAAACAATGGTCATACTATAACTGTAGAATCAAATAACACAAAATTAGCTATTCAAGGCGGTAATCTAAATGGAACATTTTACTTTAGTAATTTACATTTACATTGGGGACCAAATCATAATACTGGTAGTGAACATCAAATGTAAGTTTTATATAATACTAGAATTTTTTCTCTGCGGCACATGTCTGATTAAATAAATTTTATATTTTAGTAATGGTAATAAATTTAGTGGTGAAAGTCATTTTGTTTATAAAAATCCATTAACAGATGAAACAGTTGTTTTAAGTTTTCTTATGCAAACTCAAATGGATGAAGATATACCATTAAATAGTAAACATAGTTTCTTTAATGCAACAGATGAAACTAAATGGATGAAATATTTCGATGTTGCACAAAGATTAAGAAGAGAAAATGATTCAAGAAGAATTAATTTAACATTAGCTTCATTAATGGGTAATAATTTAAATGATTACTGGAGGTATTTCGGATCATTAACAATCCCACCTTGTACTGAAAATGTTATTTGGAATATATTTCGTTCACCAATACTTATATTAGATTATGAATTTGATTCATTTCGTCATGATTTATTTTTTGAAAGTTTTCGCGGTCCACAAACATTATTTTATAGAAATATTTATAGATCGTTTTTAAATGAAACATTATCAACAAATCCTGATCAAATATGTTGTAATCAACCCATATCAAATGGTATATCAACTCTTTTTAACAGAGCTATTTATTTTGTTTATTTATTTTCATCAAATTTTTTTATAAACTCTATGAAATAAACTTCAATTATTTATAAAAAAGATTAGGGACGAGATAAAATATCATTGCATGTATTGATATTAATAATTCTGCCTTTATTCATGACGATAAGACGATCGCTTGATGCTACTGTATTGATTCGATGTGCAATAGTTAAAATAGTTCGATGACGAAATTTTTCTTGAATAACTTTTTGCACCAATGCATCTGTTTCTTTGTCAACATTAGCTGTTGCTTCATCAATTAATAAAATTTTACTTTTCTTAAGAATAGCTCGAGCAACACAGATCAATTGACATTGACCAACACTAAGATTACTGCCTGATTCAGCTATAGGATATAGAAGAAGACTTGATTGTTGATTGAAAATTGATTGATCGAGTTGTACAGCTTTGAGTGCCATCCAACATTCTTCATCCGAATATTGATTTAATGGATCTAAATTATATCGAAGCGTTCCACTGAATAGAAATGGCTGTTGTGGAATGACACTAAGATGTGAACGAAGATGTTTTAATGTAATACGACTGATATCGACATGATCAATAAGAATTTCGCCATCAGTCATTGAACGATTAATAAAACGAAAGAGAGCTTTAAAAAGTGATGATTTACCTGAACCTGAAAATAATCATAAAATAATATTGAATAATTTTAATTAACCAGTTAATATTTCGTTTGAACAAGTTTTTCTAAGAGAAAATGATTACCTGTACGGCCAATAATACCAATTTTTTCGTTCGATGCAATATTTAAATTGATATTTTTGAGTGCTGATTCAAGATCAGATGTATAACGAAATGAATAATTTCGAAATTCTATTATTCCACTAGTTGGCCAATCTGGTAATGTTTTTATAAGTCGCTTTTGACCACCTTCATCTTCTTCAGATGGCAATCTTGCATATTCATTGATACGTTCGGCACTTGTCATCAAGGTTTCACTTTCAAGTAATTGTCGTATACCCCATTGAAATAATACAGTCATATTAATACTATATGATAAACTAAGAGCAACATATGCTGGATTCAATTGATCACGTAGAATGATAGCAAGAATAGCAGTAACAAATGAAAAGAATGTTGCCATAAGATCAAGATAAAAGCCAAGCCAAATGTTAGTAGCTATTAGAATTATGTATGAACGTGTGTTAGCATCTATTTTATTTGTCAATGATTGTAGAAAATCATCTTCAGCTTTGAATGCACGAATCGTAACTAAGCCATTTAAAGATGTTGAGAAATGAGTATAAATAGGACTTCGTGTTATACTTTCCAATCGTTTCAATTGACGACTTGTTTTCAAATAAATATGACTTAGAATCCAAAATATAGGTAATAACGGAATAAGCAATAATAAAACCCACCAATTTACAATACCAATAATGACTATCGAACCGATGGTCATCAATAATGATTGTATTGCATCGAATAATATGATACCTAATTGTTCATCAATAACTTTTTGATCTTTACTTACACGATTTAGAATACGTCCACTTGGATTACTTTCATAAAATTGTATTGATGTATAAAGTAATCCAGTTAACATCGTATTATGCAATTGATTTGAACCATTCAAAATGAGATTAAAAAAATAATGCACACGTATTAAAGCGATAATAACTGTTGTTAAACTTAAACCTAAATAAATGTAAACATTCTTTAACTGATATTGTTGATTAATATAAGATTGTTTTGACCATTGACTAAGCCAATAATTACTAATATCATAGAAGACTTCACCAGCAATAAGAAAGATAATGACAAGGTAAAATCTAAACCAATTTAAAGATGAACCTGCAATTAAAGAATACCATATAGACCAACTTGTAGCATCACTTAACGATTTTTCATCGGATATAATTGATTGAGTATCAATAGTAGAACGTCTAATATCAAGTATATTGTCTGGCACTGTCTCTTGGACAAAATTAGTAGTTTCTATCTGATCAATATTCTCATGTTGAATAGATAATTGATCAAAGCGACCTTGTGTTTGAATATGACCATTAGCAAGAACAATTATTAGATGTGATTCAGATAAAAATTGTATTTGATATGTTATCAGTAGGCGAGTTTTCTTACTCAACAAACTATTCGGACCAATACACTGTTCATAGATATGTCTAGCAACTTTAGGATCGACAGAAGCTAAAGGATCATCAAGAAGATAAATGTCAGCATCTGTATAAAGAGCACGTGCCAGTGATATACGTGCTTTTTGTCCTCCACTCAAATTAATTCCTTTTTCACCAATGACTGTTAAATCACCACTAGGTCCGAAAGTTTCAATATCAACATCTAGACAACATGCACGAATTATAGTTAAATAGCGTTGTTCATGAAATGATTTTCCAAAAAGTATATTAGATCGAAGAGTATCAGGTAGAATCCAAGAAGATTGCGAAACATGAGAAAAAGAACTATTATTTATGTTTAATTGACCATGATTTAAAATCATCTCACCAAGAATAGCTGACAATAGCGATGATTTTCCAGAGCCAACGGATCCTATAATTCCTACAAATGTACCTGATTCTATTTCGATATTGAGTGATGATAAACAAACGTCAGAATCTTGCCATGAGAATGATGCATTATGCATGATAATTTTACCTTTTTCTGCATTATACATATCGCCGGAAAACATAGTGAGTGAAGTTTTATTTTGTACCATGGGTAAATTCATAAATTCATCGATACGTTTCGATGCAATCCAAACTTCACTTAGCTTCTCAATAGCTGGCGGTAAATATCGAAGAACAGGCATACGTATTTGATTATACATTGAAAGTACTGTGAAAATATTAGCGGCTTCTAATGAATAATCAAAAAGCCACATACTACCAAATGTAGAAAGAGCCATAAGAGATGTTGCTAGAAAAGATGAACCAATATTTAATGCACGTAAACGAAATGCATGCTGAATATCGATAAATTCACGTTGTCGTATTTGAAGTATTCGTTCTTCCATTGATTTTTCCCAATTATACATTTTAATAATTTGATATCCTTGAATAAGTTCATTGAATTCATGTATACGTTGATCGGTAAAGATTGCTGCTGATAGATAATATCGACTAAATTTCCTACTGAAGAATATCTGCAAAGATGTAAGTATAATTAATATGGAATATCCTATTAATACAAATAAAGGTTTGATAATCCAACATAAAATAACGAATACTACAAGAGCTTCAAGGGGAGCTGCCCAAACATAATGAATAGATGTGTTTAATTGTTCAAATTTAGCTGCATCATGAGCAATTAGATTGATTACTTTGGCAGTAGTTGTCTTTTGAAATGAAACGATATTGATTGACAATGAATGTTTATAAATAATTGAAGTAAGTACATTGCGAATTTGCAAGCCAATACGAGATGATTGAAAGACAAAATAATGAAGAATACATACTTCAATAAGTGTACAGATGAGTAATGCTATTGCATATAAATAACCAGTAGTAATTGATAATGAAAGTATTTGATAATTTTTTATATAAAATACGATATTACGTATAATTAATGATTTTCCGATTCGAACTGTCATTCGAGGTAGAAGAAGAAGTCCAATAAGTAAAGATTGTTTCCAAAAAGATTTAATGATTATTTTTAAAGTTGTTGATTCTTGCCAATTGTATCTACTTAATTTATTCAATAATGTACAACATTTATCAATATGAGGTAAATCATCCAGATCTTCATCGATCAATGGTCGTTTATAACCGAGTAAAATAATAGGATTTATCCACCACCATGTTAGAAGATAGAATAGTCGATTCCATGATGCTTCTGCCCACTCAAGACGAGATGATGATCGTTGATTATTATTATTATTACAATTGTTATCATATCGATTCTGTTTATTCACAATCAGAGGTTTGTATTCATCATTGTTAAGCATTTCTCTTATATTCCTATTCATTCGAAAAAAAAAACTAAAGATTATATCAATATCTTCATGATTAAATTACACAAATGTTAAATATATTTCATTGGTTTGAATTCTCGATTATCGAGATTACCTATTATGCATTTTGTCTGAAAAATAAACTTACTTTCTTCAATTCGATCAATCCTAAGATTGAAATAGTATATAACTATAATTCATTTACATTAATTCTGACAACGATACAAACAGAAAGTATTATTTATATGAATTATTTTTTCTTCATTTTTAAGAGTCAATCTTGAGACTGTATATATATATATCGGTGTCGATTATTAATAAAAATGATATTATTATATGGTCAATAAGTTAAAAATATATTAAACAGCTATAGAGAAAATCACAAATAGGTAGATGTCAAACACATGATGAGATTTGTACAAAGGAATGAGAAATAATATTTTTTTCTTTATAAATCATATCATTTATTTTCTCTTGCATATTTGTCAACTCTTTCTTTTCTATATAATAATCGATTGTATAACATATCGAATGAGGGTTATGTATGATTGACTAGATATGCGAGTTGATACCATATTTGTTTGATGTTCTATAATATTACTTAAATATACTATCAAATATTACACTATTGTATGTAATTACCTTCAATTGAAGTAAGGAAATGAAAAGAAATGAATGTTAATCTTTCTTCATTGTCAATCGGATGATGCTACGTACAAAGAAAAGATCAACAAACGTATATTATAGTCAAAGATGAAGTTACAACGTTATGTATTACATATACACGTGTACTTAAAATGATGTAAATCTTCTCATAAATATGAGATTGGCACATGATTCAAGTAATAGTAACGATCATCTTCAATATATGAATGTGAATATCAGCATTTTATTTTTTCATTAATATACGTATATCTTCTTTCATCAATATTATTATCATAAGTAGATAATTTTTATTTTTTGATAAGAGAATATTACTAAATAATTCGTAATTAAATATATATATATATATATCATATTATAATCATCAATGGATAATATATCATCTCAACAATTATTTCAAATATTCTAGAATTGTAATATATTTTATATATATCAATATTAATGTAAAAGTACTAAGTGCAGTTCATCTGTTATTGAGAGTGATAACGTATCATACTTTTAAAAAAATATTCTTCATCGTCCATTTCTTGATGTGTTTTTAACAACTCTATTACTGAAATCTAAAACATTCTTAAATAATATGTTGAAAAAACTATGAAAACTGTTAAATATTAAAAAAAAGATAAATCAAATTTCTATATAAAGAATTGCTCAAAATTGATATAACAACTGAAAATAATAAATTATTATATTTTTGTAATATAGTTTATATATCTATATATTCTAGAACAAAAAAACGTGATTTCTACTTAATCGTTACAAACGATTAATATTAATGACAGTTTGTTTGCATCCTATTATATATAATAACAGTAGAGGTGTGATTTATTTTTACGTGCCTCCTTATTCTTCGTTATACATCAGAGTAGCTTTTATCTTCTTGACTCATGTGTTCTCGCTTCATTGATTTGTTTTTTTTCTTCTTATTCTTAATAATCTGTTTTAAGTTTATAGATATTCTTTTCGTTGTGTTCTTATATGCAATGATATAAATCTATGTTGAAATCAATAATAACAGATAAATGTATAAATTTTCAAGTTAATTTCATGGTAACAGCACTAAATTAGAGTAATATCGACAGTACGACAAAAAAACGATTTTCCTCAAGTAAGTACTTTTTAAATCAAACTACAGATTACTCCTTTTTTTAGTTTGATAGATTTCGTTGTTTTTTCATATGACGCAACGGTATATAAAAATACGTCATTACTTATTTAAAATATTATTTATAAATATTAGTAATACTTATGTGATACGCGTCATTGATTTGTTGCTTGTAGATTAATAATATTAAAGGTATAATAAAACGAAATGGATATTATGTTCAAATTATTTAAGAATACAATAAAAGACTATTTTTGATGTATCAAAAATATTATTCTTGCAAAACGAATAGAAACTAATATTTTATTATTTTAGATAATAAAATTGTTTTTTAGATAATGAATAAACTTCATGTTTGGTCAACTAGTCGAGATTATGAGAGAACGACAAATGATAATGAATTCATGATTCGTCGTAGAAATTCTCGTCTATTAATTAAAGATACAGATGATTTAAATTCACTTGATCCTATCATTGGTTATGCACAAGAACCAATTCTTCCGCTTCATGATGCATGTGTACCGTTAATTTCCATTATTCCTGATATACTTCACTATGTTTCAATTGCCTTAGAACATACTCCAGATATGCCAAGTGATGATTTAACTCGTGATGAATCGGCTTCGATCCGCCTCTACACGACGGAATGGAAAGGTACCAGTGAAAGCTTGTATTCTCATCTCAATCGTGCACTAAGAAATAGTAATCGACAATGTCTATATCCCTGGTTTAAATATCTCAAACTTTTTCTCACTGCTATCGTTAAATTACCATGTATACCACCACAAACTGTATGGCGTGGTGTACGAAAATATGTCAATGTTGATCTTAAAGAAGCTCAAATGATATGGTGGTCTTTCTCATCGACAACTACATCATTAACCGTCCTTGAAAATGAACTCTATTTAGGTCAAACAGGAGAAAGAACTTTATTTTCTATTGAAATATTAAATGGTAGAAGTATACGTGCTCATTCACAGTTTAATGATGAAGAAGAGATTCTATTATTACCGGGAACATATTTAGAAGTACAATCAAAATTAGATCCAGCACCTAATCTACATATCATTCATTTGAAACAAACAATGCCAAACGAATTATTATTAGAACCTCCATTCCAAGGTTAGTCAAATATATTCAACAATTTATTTTCAATTGAAATATTTCTGTTTTTAGGTGCATGTCTTTATCCAGAACTCGAGTAAGTTTCATGTTACAATATTTCTATTCGTTCCGGTATTTTTTCATTATATTTTTGATTAGTTTATCAAGTCGTCGATGGTATTTTCGAAAGCGTTTTCTTGTTCCAATCATTACATTGACAATTATAACCATCCTGACAATTATTCTTTGTAGTGTTCTATTAACAAAGCGAACTACTAAAATACCAGGTATGTTCTTTAATATCTTAATAGATAGACACAGAACAATGATTTCTTTTTTTCAATTTTTTAAAAGTAATACCTGCGACGATCCATTGGAATGAAACTAATTGGGCAACATCTTGCGATTTTCCTGGTAATGAACTTTCCTATGTATTTATTCCATCAATGTTTTGTGGTGCAAAATGTCTTCTAACACAGGGATGTACTCATTATACTTGGACTTCCTTTAATACAGGTAGTTGTTGGATGAAAAAAAATAATGTGTCTAGAGCTGATGCAATCTTAACTAATGATTCAAGTATGATTTGTGGTATAGTAAACCGTAGTCAACAAGAAGATTCAAATTCGACTATTATTATGTGGAATGGGAATAACTGGGCTTTATCTTGTGCTTTCAATGGAAATGATCTTTCGAATGTGTTAATCTCATTGGATTATTGTGATTTAAAATGCACTGAAACGCCAGGATGCACTCATTATACATGGATCAATTTGAATGGTGGTACTTGTTGGATGAAAACAAATAATGTTTCCAAGAATGATGCATATAATACTAATGATTCAAGTACAGTTTGTGGTATAATCAATGATGGACAGCTACAAATGCCGAATTCTGAAGTACAATGGAACGAAAATAACTGGGCAATGTCTTGTGATTTTATTGGAAACGATCTCTCCAATGTCCAGAGTACTTCGGAATTGTGTTCTCAAAAATGTACTCAAACTCCGGGATGTACTCATTTTTCATGGAATTTGTATAATGATGGTACTTGTTGGTTGAAAACCAATAACGTTACTAAAGCTGATGCTTTTTCAAATAATGATCTAAATATGATCTGTGGCATAATATAACCTTTTTGAATTTTTGAATTTTTTTTCAATATTTCTTCTTATGTGAAGAAGATGATTCTGACAAAAGGAGGGTGTAAATATATATTCAGCTACTCTTAAAGCAGTAGTTTGTAATATAAAACAATAAATCAAATGTATCTTTAACATGGAAATCTAGTTTTTTATTGATTCCCTTTTACGTTCATGTTTAATTAAAACATACATTTAATTTCTTTTCTTACTAGGCTAAACAAACTTTTTAAATGAATCATAAACAAAAAGTCAATGTCTTTGCTTCGACTAATTTCTGCCCATTGCATGTTCGATTATTTCGAGGCATTGTATTACTTTTTCGTCGTTATAACGTCGTCCAATCAATTGTAATCCAATAGGAGCATTAGCATATGCTGTTGGAGATGTATAGAAACTATAATTATCAGCATCAAGTGTATTTCTAGGTTTATAATCAGTTTCTACCTGATCCTTTACAGGGTCAACAACTGTCACAGGAAAAATAACAGCGGGATAATCAAGAAGATTCCATACAGAAGTATAACCCCACCATCTAGATGTACCATGTTGAGACGCTGCTGATGGAGCACCTGGTGCTAGAAGACAATCGATAGAACTATGACATAAAGTTTCTCGTTCATTCCATATTTGTGCATATTGAGTACGATATATTTCTCTATCTGAAATTAATTTATTCATTTCTGACCAAGTTCGTTTTTTTACATGTGGTTGATTAATAATCCATTCAGTCAATGGTAATGGCTTTTCATTTCCATCTGCCATTACATTTCGTTCTTCTTCAGCTCCATTACAATAATAGAGTGCACTAATTATATCCCAACTTTTCTGATGATCAATTGGTTCCCAATCGATAATTCGTATTCCAGATTTTTTCAAATGTTCTACCGTTTCACGAAGAGCACGAGTTACAGGTGGATGAGGATGTACAACATTATCATCCCACATAACAGCTATCGTTATATTTTTCGAATCTAATGTAATTGATCGCCAAGGAATAGGTACAAGTGATGGATCTCGTAACCATGGTTCAGTATCGAGTATTGTTTTTACAAATAGAATAATATCTTCTCTTGCTCGAGCAAGTGGACCAATTGCAGCAATTATACTTTCTCTTCCTGCTTGTTCTGCTATTATTCCTTGCAATGGTAATCGAAAACTAGTTGGTTTAAATCCGTAAATACCATTATTATTAGCTGGACCACGTATACTCCCACCAATATCGGTTCCTATACCTATTGGACTACCTTTCATGGCTATAAGTGCACCTTCGCCACCCGAACTTCCACCACTAGATAGATTTCGATTGAATGGATTGATAGTAGTACCATAAACAGGACTATCACATTCTAAATGCATTAAACTCTGCGGTTGAGTCGTACGTACATAGAAAATGGCACCTGCATCATAAAGAATTTTTAATATAAGAGCATCATCTTCTGCAATTCTATCGAGCCATTTAATCCATCCTGCACTAGTTCTTCGACCTTTCATAGCTACCAAGTCTTTTGTGGAAATTGGTAAACCATGCAGAGGCCCGACAGGTCCTTCACGTCGTTTAAATTCTTCATCTAAATATTTAGCTCGGTCAATTGCTTCTTTGCTAAGAAATTCAGTAGCACAATTAGTCAATTGATGAGTAATACCAGCTCGTTTAATATAAGCTCGAATAACTTGTTCAGAGGTTAATTGACCTTGAGCCAATAGAGCAACGAGTTGAGTAGCTGTATACTTTTCAGTAATATTAAGTTCATCATTTGATAAAAGACCACATTGACGTGGAAAATCACTGACATCAAGAACAGATGAATTAATAATTGAATCTTTCAGTAAACTGTCTTTAGGAATAGATTCATCTCGAATTTGAAGTACTCGTTGAATAGATGAAGACATGATGAATGTAAATGATAATTTTTTTTTATGAAAGAGAAAAAGCGAATAAGATAAGTTGAAGTGTATTTGACGAACGAGATATCACAGGTGTTTATCACTTTGTTTTAATGTCTTTCATTTGTAAAGAAGAAGAAATAAAGGTTACGAGAAAAGATGCAGCTGATATCGCATAAACGTTTTATTCTATTTGCTTTTTTACATCAGTGTATATCATACATCTATATTCTCATTTAAAAAATAGGATAAAAATTAAACTAAAATCGATGAAATGCTAATGATTATAATCAATTTTCATTTGATTATCCTGTCACAGTTTTTTACATAGTTAGATCACGCAATATTTGTTTTCTATATTGTACTATCTACATTCTCCTCCATCTAAAATAGAAGAAATTTTAATGCGAATATTCAAGCTGCGAAGATATAAATATATAATATAAAGAAAAGTACATCTATTTCGCAAAAGTATCATAAAGAAACAGTCGCACCAATCGATTTAATAACATTATCAGTTTCTACTTTACTATCTTAAATAGAAATTTCGTAGTTAGTATAAACTTGATTTTCTTCCACCTGATATGCTCATGAAATGATATTAAGTTTAAATATTTGTTATAATTAATAAATTTGATCACAAATTCAGAGATATTACTTCTTATTTAGACATCTTAGTTTTCGGTATTTTTCCTCTTCACTATTCTCGCTTCGACATTTTTCATATTTTACTTTTTTTTATTCATTCATCATAAGCATGTATGTGTTTTTGTCGACGGTAAACATTTTTTTCATACGTAGCAACAACAGAAAAAGTAATAAACAATGTTCGATGTCAATATTGTAGGGTGTGGGTATGAGTGATAATAAACTGAGCACCCACACCATTTTGATCCTTTCTCTCCCTTTTTCTATCTTACTGTCCATTGCTATCCAATTAAGTAGTGTATCATCAAAGAGGAAAGGTGGGACAGAAGAACGATAGAAAAGTTGTTAATAAGAATGAAATAGTCACATGAATCATCGTTTTAGGTCACAATTCAGCTGTGATGTGGCGAACAAGCAATTTGTGTAAATATAGGTCATTATCTTTTTTATGTTCTTTAGTATGATCTCTTCCTCCCTTTCTTCTGACGCATTACTATACAAAGTGATGCGATTCTTGAGAAAAAGAAATGAATAAATTAGGGGTGTTAATTTATTTTTATTCTACTTTACAATAAAGAATAAAGATAAAGAAATAAAGTAAATCTTTATTCTTTATAAAATAAAGATAAAGATTCACTTCATCTTTAATTATATTCAAATAAACGAGAAAAAATTCTTTTATTAAATTGTCCTTTAAATGAGATTCATAAAGACGTAAAAGATCATATCATTCTATTTCATTGAAACAATATGTAAAAGTTTAGATGACAAAACTTCTTTTTTTTATATAGGTCATTATTTTGTGTCTAACGCTTATTCCAAAAACTATATCAACATGGTAGATATACTATACGTTGTGTATACCGTACAAGCTATCACTTTGAGTCTTACCATCCCATTGCCATTATTTTATCTTCTAACAATCGTTTTTATCAAACGTTTTCGTACTGCAAATAATATTTAGATAGCAAATTTCTGCTTAACTTGTCTCATGTGTATTATGTACTGGGCTTTATACAAAACGTCCGATGCATTGAATTTAAACATATATTCTCAAACTCCTATCTTCTGTGGACTTATATTAACTGCTGGACAATTCATGATTTGTTTAGTAGTTCATTCTCTAGTAGCCATTGTTATTAGTCGATGTTTTACAATATGTTTTCCTATGAAACGATTCTTTAAAAGTAAAACTTGGACGTATTTATCGATAATTGCACAATGGATATTTGGTTCACTTATGTCAATACCAATTTTACTTGATTGTTTAAAGGTAAAAATCAGTAAAAGAAAAAAAATATTTCTTCTCTATTATTTGTAGGGATGTTCTGATGGCATACCATTGTACAGTTGGATTTTCTTTTATTATTTACTAGTTATAGTCATAATTCCTGTGATTTTTTTTATCATTTTTAATGGAATAATTATTGTTTCTGCTCGATTATCCAGTCGACGTGTTCATGCGACTACAATAGCTACCGCGCCTAGAACGAATACAACTCATCAACAACATCATCGAGATATAAAATTACTCAAACATATACTTTTCTTATTTTTTGTATTTATATTTGGATGGGCGCCAACTTATATCGCTACATTTCTTCAAGATCCCTTTATACCATGGTGGGTGTATGATGTACTACAAATTCCACCTACATTTACTGTTATTATTCAAACTGTGGATTTATTTATTTATAATCGTGAAGTTCGTCAATATTGGAAGGAACGAATTAATCGTTGTTTTAGATGAAAATCGTCATTAGTTAAAAAGAAGACTTGAAGAACTATCTTAGTTTTATGTCAGCAGTTTAGTTTTTATTCTATATTAAATAAAATATTCTTTGTTGTTATGTGTATAATTATCATCTTCTTTATTGAATCTAGTGACTGAAATATTTAAGTCGATGTCTGTAGATATATTATCTATAACTGACTAAAAAAATTAGAGAAGAGCGAGGGTAAAGGTGTGTTAGAGAAAGACACCCTCACTCTCAAGATTTATTCACGTTGTATGACGTTAGTAGGTGATGAATAAATGCAAAAAGAAAGAAAAAACATTCATACGAGCGTCATTATTAGAACTCCACTGAAGAAAATATTTTTAATTGCACAGAACGAGTGAAAAATAACATTCATTTCTTGTCGTAGATTTTGTTTTCTTTATATGTAGTAGAAGAAGATAAACAATCGTATTATCAAGTATACATATAGTGAGAGATATCAAGACAAACTCAATTTTATTTTACTAAATTCATAAATAATATACTTCACAAATGCCTTGCAAAAATAGATATCTTAACATTCTAGCATGTGAATGCTTCACCTAATGATTATGAAATCTTGAAAAGATTATCTTATGTTACTGCTAAAAATATCAAATCAAAAAGGAAATGAAGAATTATTTTCGTCTGTGGAGTGACATTATATCTAAATATTTGTTATAATATATGACTACTGTTGCTCTACTTAATTTAATCATTTTAGTTTTCGATATTTTTCCTCTTCACTATTCTCGCTTCGATACTTTCCATATTTTACCTTTTTTTATTCATTCATCATAAATATGTATGTATTTTTGTCGATGATAAACATTTCTTTTTTCATACGTATCAAAACAGAAAAGGTAATAAATAATGTTTGATGTGAATATTATATCAATATGATCGAAATGAATAATATTTTATAGTATCAACGCAATTATTCTAAAAAATACAGTAAATTTCCCTCGTTTGTATCTACTTATGACAATTACTCACAATCAAAATAAATCATCAAAAACTGTGTCAAAATCTTGGGTATGAATATACTCAGATATGGTAATTTTATTTTTCACTTCCTCATTGGTCACTTAGTTTCTATTTGTTTCAAATAAAAAACTTATCATTGTTTAGAACGTTTCATATAAACAAATATATCGAGACTTCAAAAAAATTAGATTAAAAACTTCTTTGTTTTATTTATGTATTTCTATTGTTCCTATATTTTGAGTTTGATTATTCAAAATAAAAAAATAGGCGATCTATAATCTAAAAACATAATGACGAGAATAAATATATAAGAAGGAAAGATAAGTAAAAGTAGAGGATTATATTGCCATAAGTATATTGCTTAGTGACATCTTATATTTCAGAGGAAAATCGATAGAATCCTAAAAGAGGACAAAGAAGATCGAGACAGTTGCCAATGGCATCATGTAATCAAAAAGAGAAAATATTAACGAAAAGCGTATACATTACAAAATTTTACAGTGTAATATCATATTTAGTTCTATTCAACGTACATAATTAAGATAGTTATAACAAGCAATTATATATAGTTATTATTCAAAAATATAATTAAATTAATTTTCGAGTGTTTTGTTAATATAGATAGACGGTGTAGAAATCTATTATATTTTTATATAAACCCATGCTAAAAGATACTAGTTTCTTTTTTAAGTGTTTTTGCAGCGAGATAAGCGTCTAATGTTAGCTAATATTGATGAACTTCGGCAGATTTGTTTACATGATTAGTGAATATTGACCAATATTTTTTATATATAATCACTGCGTATAAATACTTTATCCAATGAATAAACTGTTATGTCATTCCATAAGTATGAAGGCACAGTATTTTTTCGATTTCTTCCTTATACATTGTCAGGTACGACTCACATTTATATTATAGGGACATTTTTGATTACTTAACTTATTCTGAAAGTTTTAGCTCTACAGTTTCTGTTGAATTTTCTTTTTTTCTGTTCTCAACAAGAGCAACTTTCGGTGAATGAATATGCTTCTGTAGATTTTGTTTCAGCATTATGCGAATAATTCTGTTCAAAAAGTAAGACCGAAACTGGAAATACCTAATTTAAGAGATTAAAGTTGATATTTTTGTGAATAGAAAAAGATGAAGAATTTAACAAAACAACACTAAATCTTGTTTCACTTTTGTTCTTTTCTCAACAAATTCTCATTTTATAGAACTGAAATTTCCAGAATAAGTTAAGTAATCATAGATGTATCTATAATATAAATGTGAGCCCTATCTACAATGTATAAAGAAGAAATCGAAAAAATACTGTAGTTTCTTACTTATGGCGCACTCTGTGTAAATTTTATATTTTATTACAAGATATAATGAAAAGATAACATCAAAACCATGGCCTTATCTTTGTTAGGAACGTTTCATTTCAATAGATATAAATATACCTGTTTACCATTTTCTATTTTTTCAGTCGAAACTTCAAAAGATTAAAATAAAAAATTCTTTTCTTCATCATCTAGAAGCAATTGCATATAGTCTACATATATAAAATATTTTTATCGTTTTAGATTATATTTAAAAAAATGTCGGATACTGAAAGTGACGAACTGACAAATGACACATCTGTTGATACTATATCCACGTGTAATATATACAAGAGTTTCATCAGATGCACAAAGTGTACATGGTTAGGACATTGTGATCAACTTAGTGATCATTGGAAAACATGTGCATATATGACTCGACCACCGCCAGTTAAAAAAATGAAATCTCGTAAGAAGCAACTTCCCATACAGGCTAAACGCGACGACACAGGATGTAAACAATGTGGAAACACGGCAATCAAAATCAAAGCCTTGAAATATCATATACGTGCAGAATGTCCGAAGACCCCCCCTATTATGTCCAGCAGTGTCGAATAAATGTACATGGTCAGGATGTCGTGATGAACTTAATGATCATTTGAAAACATGTGCATATAAAATTCGACGACCACGAGTTATCGAAATTATATCTCGTAATGAGCACCTTTCCACACAGGTTGATCAATACAAAGATCGAATAAAAAAATTGGAAATCGAAGCTGTAGAAGCGAATAAAACTATCGCACGCCTTCAAGAACAATGTAATGAATACGAGGATCGAATCAAGCAATTAATCAATGAAAGTAAAGGTAAACGAGAAGATAAGAACATATGAATGAAAGTACATTTTATTTCTGAAATTAAACTTTTGAAGTAAAATTTTATCTATGCCAACATCGCTAATAGATAAGTATTACATCTAAAGGAATATTTCTATTCAGTACCGATAATATGATATCCAGCGATCTTGTTCTATCGTGGAAATTAGTTTTTCTCAAAACTGTCATAAAGCATTGCATTTTAAAAAGATATTTATCTATAAATCATATATTTATGGATTAAGTTCTAGCAAAAGAAATGTGTATTCATTTATGATATATCATTTTAGGGTCAGTACCATATCGAAATGTCGAACTACAAGACTTTATTAAAAAGTGTCAACTACGATTAACAGTGGATTTACGATCGCGAAGATTAAATGATCGAGATATGGAGATAGTTGTTGACGAAGCAATGAATAAAAAACAATGTAAACGATTATTATTAGATCAAAACAAAATTTCATCTGAAGGAGCATCGATCATAGCTGTTGGATTAAAAGATAATACTACATTAGAAACACTTAATTTAGAAAAGAATTCAATTGGTGATAAAGGTGTAAAATCTTTGAGTAATGTACTCTTAACAAAAAATTCGACTCTTCAACGATTCGATATTAATGAAAATAATATTACTAATACCGGTGCACAATATCTTGCTGAATTGTTAAAAATAACAACAAATTTAACCTGGTTGGGATTACATACAAATGATATAGGTGATCAAGGAATTGAATTATTAGCTAATACACTTGCATATCATAATCGTCATCTCCAAGTATTAGATCTTTGTTTCAATAAATCCGTGACCGATAAATCTGTAGAATCGCTCATAATAATGGTTAAACATAATCGATCGTTGAAACGATTTCATATGTATGGTTGCAATTTGTCTGAATCGGGCAGAGATCGAATACGTCTAGAAGCAAAATCAAATACCATTTTACAATTATTAGAAATATGAATTGATGTAATATCATTCTTTGACTTCGCAAGACTAAGAACAGTTATAAACTCTTTGTTTTTTTTATCGAGATTCATAGAAGAAAACGAGTGTATTTATTATTTTATTTATCTTTCGAAAAAAGCAAATTATTAATGACAAGACAATTTTGAGTGTCCATTGTTTCATTTGATTGATTGAAATTATTTTGTCGATGAATATTTGCTGCGACAATATTATTCGCAACATCAAATAACAATTTCATTTGATTTTCTATAACTCGTTCAAAATTATCCACACGTCTAAAAAAAAACATTAAAATAATTATAAAATGTAAATCTTATTCTGATATCTTACATTTGTAAAAGTGATAATTCAGTATCAACATCTTTCATATTTCGTATTGAACTATTCTCATATTTTTTTACTGGACTATAAATTAGAAAATAAAATATTAAAATTTAATCTAATGAAATATTTTTCTTACATTGGTTCTTGAATCGAATTTGATTCTTTTCGTGGTATGATTTTCTTTAGTTTATCTTCTTGAGGCATAAATGTAGTTGTTTTAGATTCGCTTGGTATTGTAATATTTATTGGAAAGAACACTAAAGAAAAAGCTGTTAGCGCAATCCCTGGCGGGATTAAAATGTGAAACGCGATCTAACTGTCGTGTGTACCTTCAAAAAGATAGTTTAATTCTATTATTATGAAGCGGCTTTTACCTCATTCTGTGTCATTAAGGTATACAGATATCAGAAAGAAAAAACTTACATGTGATGATCTCGCTTGATTAGCATTTCAACAGTTGTATGGGTGTAGATATTGCATTCTTCACTCGCCTATTTCTACACTTACACCCACAACCTACTCACGCATCTATCTTTCCTAAACGGTATGAGTTCAATAGTATTATTTTGTTCTGCAATTCAATATCCATGTTTGTAACGGTCACATGTATGACGGGGTCAAAAGAACACGTATCAGTCACGTCTGGGGGGGGGGGTAGTGGGTCCAAATTTCTACCCCTAAATACTTCAACACTCCTTATAGTTCGTGTTTCACAAAATAATTAAATGAATTCTATTTATAAGATTTAACTAACTTGGAGGTATTAATAAAGTTGTTAAAGGTCTGTCTCGACTAAAAAGAAAATGATCAGAATTGAATTGTGCTTGATCAGCTGATAATTCAACCGTAGTATTCATCGATCGTCGGAAACCAATATCAGTACTTCTACACATACGATAAGATCGTAAATTAGCTAATCGATTTGCCTCTGAAAAACAAAATATTTATTTTTATTATTAATCTTTTAGAAATATATACCATCTTCTCGTTCACTTAATACACTTAAACGTCGTTCTTTTTGTAATTTTGGATTACGTTCTTTAATAAGCATTTGAAGATCAGTATCTAATTTATAAAATGGTTTGGTTTCGGTGAATTCACACTAGAACAAAAACTAAAAGATTAAAACTTCTTTTGAAAAAAAAGAAAATTTTACATGTTGAAGATCAAATGTTACATGAAATTTTTCAACAAATGATTTTTCAAAATCAGGATGAAGTTGAAAAACATTGAGTAAATCATCTCGATCAATTGTATTCAATGTACAATAAGTTAAACCTTTACATACATACAAATTAAATTAAATAAATTCTTTTTTTTTCCCAAAATACCTCGAACAACACATCTAGCTTTTCCTAATGTTGTTGAATTACATGGATTTTCTCCAAATGTATCATTACGACCAAGAATAACTAATAATTCATTATTTTGAAAGATTTCTACTTGACCACCACGAACGAAATAAATTGAATGAAGAATATCACCTACAAATAAAACAGATATTCGTGAGTACATTACTAGAATCGGTCAGTGTTCGTTTACACGATAACTTTCGAAAGGAGAGGTAGATTTTGATGAAAAGCGATTACAAATTTCATAGTAAAATTTTACCCAAGGATGAGACATATGTAGGTTCGTAGAGAAATGTTTTTTCTATCTCCTTTTGTATCCGTGAACCTCAATAAAACATCGATTGGATAGTCAAAATACATCAGTTTGTAGAGAAAACATCAGAGAATAAAACCTTCGCGTCAAAAAAAAATGAATTATAGGCTGGAGATTTAGTTGACTCCGATACTAGTCTCTAATTGGCTTGAATTTAAGTCAAAAATCGAGTTTTACGGTACTCAATAGAAATCGATAGTATATATACCATTGAATAGAGAAAAATTCTCTCTACAAGCCTATATATCTCTCATTCCTGGGACAAAGATTTGTAGTCGTCTTTTCTACACAATTCAGTGTCATCAAGATCTCGATCGAGCCATTCTCGAATTATTGCAAAAATACTGATATGTCCCTATGATTTCCATATACACATAACTCTCGAATAAAATCCGAAGTTTTCACATTTATTTTTATTAATTCTAAATAAATCCAAGATTGAGACTAATAGAAATTGACATTAATCAGATGTATATCATGACAAGACATTCCCTAATGGATTCTGATTGAATCGAAATTCAATAAAGCTGATTTAAGACTAAATCTTTTCGTCTCCTTTAATTGAAATACATTTAAATGTAAGGTTGTAATTCTCGGTTATCTATATATTACCTTGATGAATAAGTGTATCACCTGGTGGAACATGAGTTGATTTAAACAGAAGAGCTAATGCTCGAAGACAAACTTGAAAAAAAGAGATATTTCTTCATGAAGAAAAAAAAAGAAAATTTTTTACTTTCATCAGCATCTTCAAAAACCGGACAATTATTTAATAATTCTCGATTAAGATGTAAACATATATCCGCTTGAATACATTCTGGAAATGTTTTTAATATACTATTCATATCAATACCTTTTGTATTTTTCCATTCATGTTCAAATGAATCTTCCATTCGTTTAGCAAGTAGTTTATTAATACGATGATGTTTTATAAAATCATCAATACTTTGTTTCATTTCTTTTAATTCTTCTGCACCTTGATATAATTTAATAATAATCGTTGTTACACTTCCAAGAATTGATGCACTTAAAAATGCTTGAAGAAAAGAAAAAATAGAAAATTTAATATTTTTATTCTCTTACATCCAGCTAACATTGATAAAATCGAAAACAGTTTCTCACCATTTGTATTCTATTAAAATTAAAATTAACATATAAAATAAAAAACATTTATTATCTACGGCTGCAACATTTCCAAAACCAACTGATGTTAACGATGTCATAGCAAAGAAAAGTGCAGTTAAATATTTTGATTTTAAATCGGGTCCACTTAAAGTATCATTAGCAACTAAAAAAAAATTATATATTTCTTCTGTTAAAAAAAAATAGACATACGGTAAGGCATTTCATATTTTTCAGCAAGATGATCTAACCATGAATATTTAACTAATAAATTCGGTCTTTCAAGAATAGCAATAAAATGAAATATACATGCAAGCCAATGTGCAGCAATAGCAAAGAGAAGCATAAGAAACACTAAAACAGCTGATGAATATTCTGAATTTTGAAAATTTCCAATAAATTCAATAAGTCGTAAAAGACGTGCTAATTTAAAACAATTTGCTAAACGCATTGTCTTAAAAGAAAGAAAATAGCAAAATTCATATTTTTTTTTCTTATTTTATATACCGAATGACTTCCATTTCCATAGAAAAGTATATCCCATGGTAAAGCACCAAGTATATCCGCACCAAAACGTCTCCAATTATCAATAACAAAATGTTTAGCAATTAATATTGGACTTGTTATTACTTCATTGGTTTCTTTTAATACAAATGTTGTTCTAAAATCAAATCAATACATATCTTATAGGAAAAAAAATTAGGAATATTTTACCGAAAACTAATTAAAATATCTAAAATAAATACCATATCAACTAATACATCAATAAGAATTAATGCATGAATACTCGTTCTTTCACGATTGAATTGTCTTGTAGCTGCTTGAGCATTTAAATTTGTTCGTTTTTGATCTTCATCAGATAAAAATGATATTGTATATGGTGTTATTATACCAGTATATAAAACAAGTAAAATAACAACCCAATCCCATCTAAGGAAATAATCGAAATATATATGTATAAATATTCAAATAAATAAAATATACACTGCTTTGAATGGTGAATAATGAAGAATAATAAATCTTTCGCCAATCCGACGTGAACTACCAGCTGTATTATTTCTTTGTGAACCTAAGACAGGTGATACACTTGATGTTTCACTACTTTCTTCTGATGCTGCCTAAAAAAAAGTATTTTTGAAGTTTGATAAAAAAAAAATATTCTAATTACAGAAAGACGTTCTCGATCAATTCGAAAATGAAGTCGAGTTTCAACTGAAGCAAATGAAGAAAATCGTGATGGTCGTCGCATTACAAAATAATCTTTGTCTTATCTGATGATCAACTCATTTCTTTTTTTTTCTCGCTGCTTTTTCCATGAACAAATCTCAAGAGTGTTTGACAACTCAAAGCACCGTTAAATTGATAAACATAGTTCTTTAGCTTCGATTTGTCAAGCGTATTATCTCTTTTTTCTCATTAATAGATAAAAAAGAAGAAAAGAAAGATAGTCTTTATATAATAACATATTATTTGATTATTTTTTTTCTATCTTATCAGAACTAGAAGTGAACTTATAACACATTGATGATTAACAAGAGAGTTCTCGAAATTATCTGATGTTACTTTTTTTAATAAAGTCGCAGAACGTCGATGATGTTGTTTAATATTTATATTTTTTCCTAATACATCTTCTTGTTTAATTTCACCAATTGTATGCATTGTTTTAAGAACACGCATTAATTGTTGAGTACGAATAACCTAAATAAAATGATATATAATAAAAAATTTTTTTTATTGATTTACTTACTGTTTCATGAAATGATGAACGATTATTTATAATATTAGGTACTCGAGCCGTTTTTGATTCTTGGGTATCAGTAGATGTACGTGGTTTTACAGTTTCCATCTCTACTATGTATCCTATATGAAGAGAATGATTTGAATTTATATTTATGAGAAGCAGAAAAAAATTTCTTCGTTTACAAGATATTGTTTACAATTAATTATACTTCTATTTACATTCGGACTTTTTTTTTGCTCTCTCTCTATTTCCTGTCATTGTTCGATGTTAACATGTGTGAACGAAACCAATTTGTTCAATACATATCTCCAAATGACGATCGACTCAATCGATTTAATCAAAACACTTAAAGATACGATCCACTTCATAAATAGATCGTTTTCTCACTCTTAGAATACGACTAAAATTGGATAGTAGTCTTTTTACTTTGTCACAATTGATGAACGTTCGATTCTAGTACTAGAAAGAGGAGGAAAAAAAAGAGGAAAAAAGAAAGGCAAAATTTACTTCTATAATGATCTACACTAATCAGAGCAGACTGAACAGCTATATAAATAGTCCCAGGAGACATACTATTAAAGTTGTCAGAAATAAATCTTTTTGTTCAATGTAAATATTGAATATTTTCTAAATTCATGAATAGTTATATTCTTTAAATGAATATATTAAGAACTCATAAATGAGATCGACATAGAAATCTATTAATAAAAATCTCAATCAACTATAAATTATTGTATTCGAATAAATAGTAGAAGTTATCTTATATATCCTAGAGATACATTCATTAATTCGATTTATTTTTATATCTTCCGGTAAAATTAACAAATATGATATAATTGATTTCAATAAATATGTCACATATGGAAAATAATTTAATCATCATACAGTTCGAATTTTCTATAGTATTCATCATCCATTATTTGTAAAATTTAAAATATTTTAATATTAGTTATTTATTATTGAATGAAAAAACAAATCGATGTTTTTTTTTAATATTTATTTGAAAAAAAAACTTATTTTTCATTTCATCAATTTTTTATGTATAGAAAATACTAGTTTTTTCATACATATATTTATTGAAATAAGATATTGTATATTTAAACCATAATAAAATATTAATTTGAGATGAATATATTAAAAGATAACTTATATGCTATTCCTTTTACATTCAACGATAACTGTAGTTTTGTAATCTATATATGAATAATCGTAGACACCATTGTACATCAGTTTTTTTACTTACATTTTCCATAATTAAAATATTGAGAGCAAAGTGCAAAAGAAAATAATAAATTCTATATGTTTCAAAGATATGAATTCAGATGATTCTGATTTATATTTCATAAGAATAGTAAAACTTTCTATTAATTATACTCTTTACTCCATATTTATCAAATATTATGCTAATGTGCACTTCATGAAAACTGTAATAAATCAAAACCGATACAGACACAAATAATCAATAAAGATTAAGATTATCTTTATCTTTATTCTTTATGGAATAAAGATAAAATAAATCTTTTTTTAAGATAAAGATAAAGAAAAAGTTACTTTATTGAAAAAATAAAGAATAAAGAAGTTTGTTTTTCTTGAAAATCTAAAATTTTATCGTTTCCGGATAGGTCACCAAATATTCTAAGAACACAGGCTAAAAAGATTCTGGAGCGAAGATGGGTGTGGGTATTTGTTTTCTTCTTATTCATCGTCCCCACCCTCATCAACATCAATCTTTGTTTTATTCTTTAATCATGAAACAGCATGGCTTTTGTGTCACAGGAATCATTCACAGAGAGAATGCAAAAAACTGATTGACGTGCATGCTTGAGAGTGTGGTTAGATATGAATGTGGGTAAGAATATTCTTTTCATTTTACATCCACACCCACGGCTGTCGTCACAATAATCGAAATGCGTCAAAAGTTGATTAGAATTCTCTGATAAACTTATCCTCACGTTTATCTTAACTACAACATGAATATTGTGTGGATAATTCATTTCTTTAACTTTTTTCTTTTTTTGTGTTTTTTTATTTCAATGCAATCGGTCGTTCCATCAGTAAAAATACACGTGGTCATTCAGAGCTTATTCATCCTTTTATGTTTTATTCGTGTTCGCTACTCCCATTTTCTTTTGTCTTTTTCGCAAACAGCAATATTACTTTACCTTAGAAACGTACAAACTGATGTAAGTAAAGCCATGTATTCATTGCTATTCTTTACCTAAACTAGCAGCTACTAGTGTAAAAATTGAGAGCTTTTTTCGTTTTCATCTTTCGATTGAAATGTTTCTGTTAAATTAGAGTTTTCTTCAGGAAGGACATTATTAGTTCCTAGTGCCATCTTATACATATTTTGTGTTTTGCAAAGAATCTACTAAATTGCATTATAAAAGTTTCTACCGTTATATAGGCATAGAAATGAAGATGAAGTGTATGTAAGGGTCTGTTTGTGATCTGTGGGAGTAGGTGTGAATGCGAGTATTGGTAGGGGTCTGAATGAAGCCACGAGTCTCATTTTCTATCACATCCAAACGCATGCCCTCGCGCATATCCACATTCACACTCCTCACCCACACCAAAACCTACCCCGCAGATCTTGTTTTACTGACGAAAAATATTAGAAATCGATGCAGTGAAAAAAATAAAGAAGCTAGTTAGTTTTTCTATATATCTCACAGACAAGTTTTATAAGGTCATAGGAAGCGAGCCAAACATCTAAATCAAACAAATGTGTCTCACTTCATATAGAAAAAACTAGCTAACCACACTACAGTTCTTATTTTGCCATCATCCAACCTGCCTTCTGCCCTTCTTCCACCAACAGGATAATCTTTCAAGGTTTATATGGGCGTACTATTTGTAATTTTTAAAGGCCTATTTGAACGTAGTATTGCAGTTTTTCAAGATCTAGCTGAATATGGTGGAATCATAAGAAGAAGCGAACATATACACGAAAAATAGTGGCTCACCTGATATAGAAAAATGACCCAACCAATGTCGAGTCTTTAATTTCATATAAGTTGAAATAATCTATATGAACATCCTAGCTATCGCAAAAACGATGAATCAAGCTAATTGTGCTTCAAATTGAACTCTTTTCTATCCAGCTTTTAATGACAATGTCAAAATGTGTATGACGCGAAGGGTCTAATCAATTCCAGAAATGAGCCGTATTTCCTATGATACCTCGTTTGTATCTTCGTTCTATATCCTTGAGAATTTGGCAAAGACCCTGCAAGGATTTCTTGTGTTTTTGGTTGCAGGAAGTGAGCAAAACATACAGGCATTTTCTGAAGATATAACATACTACCATTTCCACTTTATACTTTCTGAAAAAATTGTTTTTTGTTTGTGTTGTTGCACTTTTTTCCCGGACAAGAAACTTGTCCATCATTATAATTATATTCTCTTTGTTGGAAGAATCTTTTTTCAGTCATTTCTGCATTCTCCTTCCAGAAATAAGCAACTTATTTATTCATATTCTCAAACTCTTTCCCGGAAAAACTTATCCATCGTTATTCCTGCATTCTCATAGGCAGGCGTATTTTTCTTGCTCTCCTTCCTGAGGAAAACATATTTCTTTTTATTTCAGTCTTTTACGCCAAAAATCCTTGTCTGCCATCGTTCCTTCATTCTCAATATTGGAAGGAATATTTTTCGCTCATTGTTACATTTTCTTTTTCAGAAAAAAACTTATTCATTCTCGTTGTTAGACTCTTTCTCGGAAAAAAATTGTCTGTCATCGTTCTTACATCGTGCCAATATGAATCAAACTGGTAAGCCTCCAAGTGGTACCTCTCAACAATACAACAACAAATCTAAAACAGCTTCACCTCCTGGTACACCTGGTTATATGACTCTACGACAACCATCTCGTGAATTAACACGTGAAAATCCTGTTGAATTATTACGAAGAACGGCAAATGGTAGTAAAGAAGTACCTAATTCAAATAATACTTCAATGACAGATTCACGTAATAGTTCTCGTAATGTCGGTCGTGAACAATCACGTAATGCATCACGTGAATCAAGTTTAAATAAAGTATCGGCAACATCAGCATCAACAGCAAACAATTCATTTGATGAAGAAAAAACAACAACACGTGTACATGCATTAATTGGAGAATATACAGAATATTATTCTGATAATAATAATCGATTCGTTCTTAAAGCCGTAAAAGATTTATCTGATTTTTGTACATCTAATACAAATCAACAAGCAATTATTGTTCGAGAATTATTTACAAAGGTATTAGAAGGCAAACCACGTGCAAGAAAAGCTATTGGACATTTACTTGATATGACATTACAAAAAAATCTTATATCTGATCAAAGTTTTCTATCTGGTTTAAAAATGTTAATTGAAGTTGTACCAGATTATATAGTAGATATTTCACTTGTTTGGCAATATATTGGTGAAATTCTTGGAGCATTTATAAGTGGTTCATCATTAAATATATTATTGCTAAAATCTATTTTGCCATTAATACCAGATGAAGTATCTAAACAATTATTTCAAGATATTATTCGTTATGCAGTTGAATTTTCTTCTAAATCACGTGTACAAACAAATTGGCAATCTGTTAATATTTCATTAAATGATTTGTTTGAATCAAATTCCATTGATTCATCATTTCTTAATGAATATAATTGGTTATCAGATTCAACAGGATCAAATAAGGAAAATAATTTACCACGTGCTAATTCACAATTAGTTACATTATTTAAATCCGTTAATGATCAAGATTCAGCAGTACCTGATGCTGAAATAATAAAATATATTCGTGAAGAAATGAATTCTAAAGATAAATTTTATATTCGTACTATTGTTTTATCTTATTTGGAAACATGTTTAATCAATCGTGGACAACAAATTAAAATACAAGAAGATATTGCCAAAAAACGAATGACAGTTCTTAATGGTATTATTGAACATAAACCAGAAGCAGAACTTCAAGCTGTTTATGCTATTCAAAATTTTGTTAGTAAACTTAAACATCCACCAAAAATGGCTCAATTATTATTTGATATATTCTATGATGAAGAATGTGTGAGTGAAGATACATTTTATGAATGGTTAAATCAACCTGATCAATCCGAAATTGAAGGTAATTTTAACTAATATTTTTTTTTGTAATTATTATATTAATAAAAAATATTTTTTGTTTTTATAGAACATTCAATAGTAGCAGTATCAACAAAAGATTTCTTTGATTGGTTACAACAACGAGAAACTGAAGGAGAGGGCGATGAAGAATAAAATTGATTATATATGTTATCATACCGATAACCTGTTATTGTCATTTTTTTTCTGTCAGTCTCTTTATTTATTTTCTACTAGCTAAAGTTAAACAAGAAAAGCATACATATGAGTATGCAACATACATAATTGATGGTGGATTTTTTACTCCTTGTTTTTTTTCTCAGTTTCTATGTGTCTTATCCTTTCATATTGCACTTGGGGCTGTGACTCTTTCAAATTGGAGTATTGCGTTCTTTGTCATATTCATTCAAATGTGACTATTATAAAATACGATTTGTTGTTGCTTCTTTTTTGCTTTATCAACGATAAATACATTATAAAAGCAAAAAAAGATCTCTTCTGATCTAATATTAAATTATAGAATATCTGCAGCTTATATTAGTAGTTTGCACACTAACAAATACTATTATGAATTGGAAGAATGTATTCAACAATTCAGTACTATCTTGAGAATTAATTTTAGATGTTTATTAGTTTTTGTAGACAATATCTTTTTTGACTATTTATTGTATTATTATTTTGCAATAGATTTTTGAAAATAGACTATTGAAAATAATATGTAATATACAAATTAAGTTTAATATATTAATAGAAAGATGTACGTACTTGATTATTCTTTCATTTCATAAATATATTATATTAGACAAGATAGAACTATCATCACAGTAATCAGACATTTGAAAGTATTTCTCTTAGAATTTATTTCACTAATCATATGAAATTCAATATGAACTTCAATAATATGATTATAAAAAATTACTAACTTTTAATCATTCATTGTAATTTGCACGGCTATTTGTTTTGTCATCAAATATTAGAATACGTAAATGAATCCTTGTTAAGGGTATAGATCTGAAAGAGAACCACAATAGCAAAACCCACATCTGTTGTCGTTGTTTTCGATAATAGTATCATAATCGTGAAAATCAACATAAGTATATTTCTCTCTATATGTTGCATGAATTTAATTGTCACTAAGTGAACGTCTCGTTGCTCATTTATTCAAAAATAATCAAAATGTTCTTATAAAATTAATGGAGAATAAATTTATGATAGAATAAAAAAAAACATCCTTTAGTGGCATCATCATGAGTTTTCATAATAGAATTTTGTTGTGTTATATACTGGCGAATCGCACTGTTGATCTTAATAGTCATTATAAACTATGTAAAAAAGAATTTAATTTATACTAACTAGAAACATAACAACACTACGATACCAAAAATTCAATGTATGATATCGAGAAGTTTTTATTATTCAACTAAAATATGTGTTATTCTTCTCTTTATTCATTCATTCATTTTGTTTTTTTTATCTTTGTATTTTTACTAGCTAAATGTTTCTACCATTATTATTAATTTTTTAAAGCACTCCAAAACGAAGAAATTAAAAGTTTATTAATAAAGAAAAAAAACTGTATTTACATCTCATTCATAAAGTCAAACTAAAACACACACACACGCTTAATATATATATACATAGGAAAATATTTAAGAGTTTTTATGTTAAATGAATAAGCACTCGAAAAATCAATATACTAAATAAGTGTATCTAATTTTGAAATGATCATGTAGCGGAAGATTCAACTTTACTCTCCATCAGCCAATGATCACTAGGGCACTATTCGTAGGACCACCTAGATTGGATAACCAAAAACTGATGTTATAGCTTCCACCGATTACTGTTGCAAATGATTGGCTGAGATAATCCGAATATGTTACTGAGCCATCGTAGAAACTATAGCTGCCTGAATGAACACATGAAGTTGATATAGTACCGCTAGCACTAGCTCCATTTGGATTACAGTAAGTATAATAGGAAGTTAGTGGACTCGATTCAAAACCACCATCTTGCCACAGCTCTACTCCGTTGTACTGGACTGAAACATCATCTAGACACCAATAGTTGGGATCTTGACGAAGAGCCAGCATCATTGTTGTAGTAGTTGCTGTAGCAACAAATGTATATGTATAGTATGTATAAGAAAATATAGCCGCATCTTGAAGGTACAGCAGAACGGTGGTTGAGCCGCTCATTATTGCTGTGCAGGTGTTGTTTAAAACGGCTGAATCAAAATAAAATAAGATTATATTTGGAGAAAATTATAGCTTTCGTAAATGTTTCTATAGCTAATGCTAGTATCTCAATATACTCCAGACAAACTCTGTACAAAATATTTAAACGTTTTTCCTAAATAATATTTTAGACTTACCAGTTGGCACGGCAACAGTTGTCGTAGGTAAAACTGTTGTAGCTAGAGTTGTTGTTACAGTTGTCGTCGTTGCAATGGTTGTGGTTACAGTGGTCGTGGTTACAGGGGTAGTGGTTGCAATGGTTGTAGTTGCAATGGTCGTGGTTGCAACCGTCATGCTTGCAGTGGTCGTAGTTACAGTTGTCGTTGTAGTATCTTCATATAGTTATAAAAATACATATTCATCAATAATATGAAAAATTGTAGAGATCCGAGCGCATATCGAAATCTCTAAAGCAAAAGGCGCAGACTTTTTTTACTCTAAAGATAAATATCAGAGGAGCGCGTGTTCATTGAGTCCAAGCACTCTCCACTGAGAAAAAATGTTTGAAGGATGTCCATCAATAGACAATTTGTGATAACTGGCACAACTAATAGTTTTTGGTTGGTAGGCTGCTTCAAGCGGAATACAAGACTAAAAATCTTTTTCCACGGTCTACACTTTTTTCAACTGCTGAATATCCCTCCTCCTTCAAAAATTTCCAAGAACGCTTGTACATAATAGGTGCAATGTATTCATCTACAATGAGTCAGTGACTAATGTTGTTATTTATCTTCTACCTTGTGTTCGTGTAGCCAAAACTGCAGCTGCAATGCAACCTCCCACTAATAATGTCAGAAGAGCGCAGCACCATGGAAACCAAAACCAAAATCCACGTCTGAAAATGGGCAAAAATTCTATTTAACATAATAACTATTTAATCAAACTGATAATACTTGCCTTTTGCGCCATTTTCTACAACGTGATTTGTCTTCTTCCAAATCTTCCTCCTTGTCGGCGAATGCTTCCTCTTTCCTTTTAAAATTTGGATCATTAGATGTTATTAATGAAAGGAACGTTTGATTATTTCAGCGCACTCAAAAATAGCTTTAGTTAATCTAATGAAAAAGTCGAACATATCCTGAGGATTTTATTCCATATTCAATTGATGAGTTAAAATTAATAAATTCAAGTTTCTCAGATTATTATCGTGCCTACCATTTATTTAAAAAAAAACTATTGTCGATACTATTGGTAGTGAAATCTTGTAGAAACTCACGTCAACGTCGGTGTTGGTGACGGAGAAGATACCAGTTGTATGGATGATGATGAAGCCCATTGCGTAGATATTGCTGCAGCCAAGGGTGTCTGAGCATACGAGGCTACTTTTGGACGTACATTAATGTAGGTTATTTGCTGGTTTGTCTGAAATATAATGACCGACTTATATATAGTTACTCAAATTAATGTTATCTTACTGGTTTCGGCACATATAAGCCGTACGCTGCAGAACTAGCTGTTGGCATTTGATGAATGATGGCAATATTCTGAAATGAGCAAGAAAAAAATCAACTACTATTAATAATTGAACCGTACTTTTTTTTACATACAACACATTATTATTATTATTTCTTCTCCTTTTTAGGAATGAATAATTCTCTACGTCAGCAAAAATCCACCCACCATAAGAGAATCGATCAAAGTTTCATAAGTATCCTCCGTCACACCAGCCTTGAAAGGCACTTAGAGCAAAACAGCAATGCTGTTTATTTAAAAAAAAATAATTTATTTTGATAGTTTTGTTTTAGAAACAAAACTGTTCGATTTCTCTTTAACTACTAAGAGATTGTGCATGCACTGTATACAATTTCTGATTATTTTGTTCTTTCTTCGTATATTACTCTATATTTTGTCAATTGAGATTCTGATCTTGCGTATTATTTTTCTTTCTCTAATGGGCATGTATATAAGAATATACTTTGTATGAAAATAAAGTATAATTTCATCAGCACTAATACTTGTTTTTTATTAAAAATCCTTACAATTATTTCTACGAGATATCTCAAAAGTCATAATTACTTAATAAATGCGAGTAATTCCATGACTAAACAAGCTTAATCGTAAACAGTTTCTTTTTATCAAACGAAAAAACCGTCCAGAGTAATTTTCGACTTTGAGTCTTATGTTTTATCACATTATTTCGGTCTGCACCTTTTGCCATATATAGCGATTAATGTCTTTAGAATACCAGACAAATTTTACCACAAACAGATATTCTCTTTTATTTTCTGTATATAACCACCATTTCTGGAAGATGACAATTTCTTGAAACTGAAACTTTTCGGTTACTCTTAAAACATTAATCTTCTTAAGGCAAAACTTTCGAAAGCACAATTAGGTAGATCTTAATCCCGATTATTATGCGTAATAGTTAAGTCATGTTACAAAACCATTCGTAGTGATCCACATGATTATACTTTACATGAAAGCTTTGATAAAACGAGAAAAATGAAATAATTCTTTGCTGGCTTTGATCAGAATTCAATAATGATGTCAGAAAAAATCCTTATGAACCAAAAGAAAACAAAACTAGCAAAAACAAATGCATGACTATCAAAAGAAATTCATCGTTTTTAGCGCTTCAATAGAGTGTCAGCATTAGAGACATCAAAACTGATTATAAGGCCTTCCTTTTCTCTTGTTTACTGAAGGCATGCACCCAATTAGTTGTTCAGCAATAATAAGTAAAAACTGCAAATATGTCATTTCATCTTTTGCATGGTTCTTGTGATAGATGAATAAGCATTCGACAATACCACCTTCACAAAATGGGAAAATATTATGAGCTAGTTTCTATTTGACTTTTTGTCAACAGCATAATTTCGAACTCTTTGGTCAGCCCGATCATTTCGAATCGTTCCATAGGTGTAATCTTGAATCACTTGCGTATTTCTTGATTTGAGAGTGATTTTTGTTAGGTTAGACTTAATGTATATTGCTTTCCGGTCTATCCGTTTGAAAATTAAAATGAAAACTTTTGATAAAAATTGTACATCACCAGGTGCCGTATTGATGTGAGAGAGTCGCCGAAAAAAATATGATGAAATTTCATTGAGAGTCCTCTTGTAAATGATCTGATGACATGCTCATCTAAAGATATTTCTTTTCAATTGATTTACAGAAATAAATCTCGAAATTATATATATAACCGGTTGATACATTGATAAGTATCCGGACTGTGTAACAGTACTTTATTGGTTTTTCTTCTATATATTATTTTAAACGAACATCTTCCTTTAAACTTTGTCATCATTTCATCTATAGTCAATTGTTCTTCGAAATTGAGGGTGTGGGTGTTGTGTTCTCCTCTTACCTACACCCATACCATCCTTCTTGACTGGAAATAAAATACATTTTTTTTTAGAATTTTAATCTTGAAATGCTGCAGAAGTAGAAAACTTCTTTTCCGTTTATCTTTCATTCAAGAAAAAAATATATCAAGTTTAATAGTAAACAGGAGCGAACATTGTTTTGTACTAATTCGAAAATGTATTTCTTTCAATGCCTCATATCTGATCTTGTGTATTTCATTGAATCGTTTTCTCTCACTATTCCTATTACTTTACAGTATGATTCCAATTAAAAATAAAAAAATCTACTATTTCATCTATAATCTCAAAGTTTTTCAACATAACGTTATAAATGTTTAGTATGTATCAACCGTCTAATTAATTAACTAACCGGTGCCTCACAAAAAATATGCTTCTCAATTTCTTCTTCTCTTAAGATTTGTCTTGCAATGTTCTTCAAAATAATATATATTTTTCATGTATACAATTTTCTATGAGACGCTGTTGAAATTTGAATTGATGGAAATAACATTAGAATACTGAGTAACTCATATAACATCGGATGTCCGTTTTATAATCAAAATTCAATTTCTATGAAAGAACAACAATTTCCAACTTAAATATATTGACAAGCATTTCTATATCAATGCTTTATTAATTCCAAACGTTTGACATTTTATGATCGAATAAAAAATTACATGAAGATAGATAAATTTTTTGTAGATGTACGTCAATATACAATTAAAAAGATATTATTTATATGATGAGCGAGAATATAAAAAACTTCTTTTTTTTGTATTACAAGAAGAAAAAATAGTGTTAACAGTCAGCGGATAAATTATTCATTGAAAACTTTTGTATATGAAAATGATGAATAACATCAAAATTTGATGATTCAACACTCAAAAAATATGTAGCACTCTAATTACCTATGTGAATAGAAAAACAAAACGGAAATGAGAGTCGCATGTTTTCTATTTTCTTTTGAGAGAAAAATATGAAAAAGATTCTATTCTATATGTCAGAACTTGTCTTCTCAAAAGAGACATCGATTCATCTATCAGCAACTGCCAACAAATGCATTAGATTTTCTAAAGATATCAAAATATGCTTTCTGAATTATTTTATCAGATAAATTTTTCAATTTCTATTATCGCTTCACTTGTTGGTATTATATTTAATTTCTTACTTACTTTTATTATTGTAAATCATCGAAAATGTCACACTATACATAATTTACTCGTATGTGATTTATCTATATCATCAATACTGTATTTAATTATACATCTTATTGGATGTTATTATGGTATTCGTAATGATTGGTATTCTTATCAACCATTCTGTACTTTACGTATGTATTTAATAACAACAACAGTTGCTGCTATAACTTATTCATTTTTAATTCAAGCAATTAGTCGATTATTTTTTTCAATTTTTTATACTCATACATTTTTATTGAGTTGGCGTACACATTATATTTTAATAATTATTAAATGGTTAGCAAGTTTTTTAGTAGCTATTCGACTACTTTTTATTGAAGATAGTTTTGAAGTTGTAGAAGAACATCGAATGTGCGGAATTAAAACACATAAATTGCCTGTGGCATCATATTCTATTATTCTTTTATATATTTTTCCAAAAGTTTTTGTGTTAATTGTTTATGGTTTAATTCTTCATCAAGTTTGTCAATCGACACATCGAGTTGGATCAAATAGAATTATAAAGATCACTGCTGCTTGTATTTCATTAAATTTTGTTCGAAAAAATTTAATCGTACTGAGAAATATGTTAATTATTTTGAACTTTCTTATTTGTGGTGGTGCACCTTATCTAGTTCTTATACTTTGGGATTTAATAGAAAATGGAATGGCACCAAGAGAATTATATTTTGTATCAGTTAATTCAGTGATAGTAGCTATTGCAATGTTGCCAATATTCTTATTTTATAAGAATAAAAGAGTGAGAAATGAAGCATTTAAATATTTGTTTAAAGATTATGTACGTATAGACTAATGAAAGATCGAATATTTTACTTTTATGTTAAATTTGTTATTTTATGTTTGTATTAAGAGTTGAAGAATAAAACTAATTATCTAAAAACTTTTGTTTTGAGAATGTTCCATGAATGTATATGATTTCATAGAATAATATTTTCCTATTACTATCAGAAAGAAAATTTCTATTTCTATAAATTGTTTTTCTTTTGTCATGAACTGAAATTTATCAGGTTTAATAGTTCTAGGTGCTCTAAGTGTCTTCCTCTTGTCAAGAAAAAGCAAATAAAGATTTCCGATATGAGCAGGTGTGAGAGTATGGGTGTGCCTAAGCATATTTTGTTATCAGACACATACTCACACTAACTCACATTCTCAAAATAGTTTCCATTAATTTTTTTCTGCAGATATATTATGCCATCGGACGCGATCCTTTATGAGATCAAAACATTTTTTTAGTATCAGTTCGAGAGACTCATGTGAAGTTTCATAGAAAATATACTGAATTCTTTCTTTTTGCATATCTCAGCACTTCTGCTCGATTTTACTACAGAAAATAAAGCCACATGAGCAGCACACAACAGACAAACAAAGAAGAAATGTGAATAATGTTGCACAGAATATAGTTTGTGTAAAATTGACATAGTTTCTTCTAAGCTTTATCACTTAGTCTAATAGACACATCAAGTATTGCACAACATTTCTTCACGAATCTCGATTATCTCTAATTGGTAGAAGTACAGAACAGCAGTCGTTTTATATGTTTGTATTATCTGTTATCATTCAACATGTTGTCATTTCAATTGATGATAATCCAAAGCGAACTATAAGTGTTCAATCTCTCTTTCCAAACATGATTTTCAAATGCAACAATGCATCGACTGATTTATAATAAGAAGCAAACAAATAAACAATGTCTTTTGTATTTATTATAACATAGTCATGTCATTGAAGTTCACAATATTTTTGATGTTAAGTCATTGAAACTGAATGGCCTGATTACGGACGGGTACGCCGTTGAGTACGAATGATAGATTGTTTAAACGCTTTCATATATGATTTTGAAGGAAAAACAAAGATAAGAAAGATCAACATCGAAGGAGTGAACGAAATGAAATATGCTCCAAGATACAACCACAAGTTCTCAGATGTTTTCGCACAACCAGGAAGTAATGAAATGATGAGGCGAGGTATTGACAAAATGAGTAAAACTATTGGACTAATGATCAATTGTTTATGTTCGCGAAATTGTAGCTGAACATGTTCTTTAAAACTTTGGTTAGTTCGTGCCATTGATCGTTGTCGAGCACCTCCAAAGATGATGAACAATGCCGAGAAAAGATTAACAATAAATGGACCAACAAGATGAAAAAATAGAACGGCTGTATTGTAATCTTGGACTGAAGGAGAATAATGAGTGATACATGATACATATCGCTTGATTGTGTCTTCATTAGTCTTATTCGTATTTGTCGTATCTGGTGCTGTTTCATATTCGAATAATCTACGAAATGCGAGCTCATGAATAAGTGTCCCAAGAATACAGAGTGGTAAAATAAGAATTGTTCGTCGAGCAGTAGATTTGCTCTTTTTCTTATCAAATTTTACTCCTTTAAGAATAAGTGCTGCTCGTTCAACTGCTACACAAGCATTAAGCCAACCATCCAAGTAGAGAAAAAGTTTTAGAATCGGTTCAATGGATGCACAACCTCCACGAAGAACAGAGAGACTAGTGGATACATTGATATGAGTAAGAACAACAAACCAGAATTTAATTATGAACATAGTAATTGCCAAAAGAGAAGTAATTGATGATGCCAATAGATACATTCCACATCCAACTTGTTGAGAATCTTTATTTTGGAATGTAATAAAAGAAAGAATACTATTGATTAATCCTGCAACAAACATAATTATTGTTAAAGCCGCACTTAATTTAATTGAAAATGATTGATTATTCAACACTGTATTTGGTTTAAGTTCGTCGCGTAGAATATCATCAAGTGTCAAACCAATTCCTTTGATGTAAAAGTTACATTGATCACCAATCACACAACTACTGAGTTCTGGACCTAAAATATTGGATATATTGTGGTAAGAGAGTAATGAAGAAATTCAGTTTCGGCAATCTACTTGTTTCTCAAATGAAAAGGTTTCCCAGTGTATTGAAATATCTACACATTTTACCACTGATTTCGAGAAATAGAAAAAATTATGGAAGAAAGTTTTACTTTTGCAAGATTTCGAGTCTTCGAAAACTCCACATCCTTAGAGATTTAAAAGACTGTAAGTATGAACATCCAAAATATGGAATATATATTGAAAATTCACGCTAAGCAGATGTCTTTTCTAACTGATCAATCGACTCACAGATTTTGAAAACTATTTAATTCAATAACTCGATAGATCTTTTTTCAAAACCTAAAATAGCATATGCGCACTAATCAAAAAATAGTACAAGAAATCTTCTTTTCACGTTTTTTACACCATTATATATTTGTTATTGAAAAATTCATGTAAATACTTACTGAAAGGACTAAGGCTGATATTGTTTGGTCCAGAGATAAAAACAGAGAAGTTGCCAATAATCTTAGGATCTTGTGTTGTCACAACTAATATGTATCGAGTGTTGATCTCGAGATCGATGATTAATTTGAATTGTTCATTATTACATTTGCCGCCATGTGACAGGAGTAAATTCTCGGATGGTTTTAGAGGATTGAAATTATTTTGATAGATATATCCATATGCGTTAATATTATTTTCACTCCAAAGAACATACAAACCTGTTGTATTAACATAAATTTGTGAAGTTTCATAATGACATTGTGGTACTTGACAATCTCGATAATATGTTGGGCTATCATCAGTTAGTTGTGATGAGTATTTTAACTGGATATTTACTGGGATACCTGTTCAACAAAATAAGTAAAATAATTTCTAGAATTTTGATACTATTACAAATTTGTGTCTTTCACGTTCTATTCAGAAAATATTTATTGACTAATAAAAAAACAGAAATAGTTAGATAACTATCTGCCCATGAAACTATTATCTGACATCGGCATAAGCGAAATCTTTGAGATTTTCTATGAAGATTCATTTTTACAAATAGAGGTTAGTAAAAATGTACCAAATCCATATTCGCCAGGTGAGTATTCTGAGATCAGTAGGCCACAGAAACCTAAAAGTGCTGAGCTACAGCAAGATACTCTTTGGATTTTTACCATTTGACTGTCAAATATTTCCAAACATCTTATTGACTATTCTTTCTAGAGCATTTTTCATTTGATATTTGTGGAACCTGAGCAGTATTCACCTGCTACGATAGTGTTAGAAAAATATATGAGTAGATATTCTACTGGAAAATGTCTTAATATCAGATAGAATGAGTTCAGTGTATTCTCTTGATATAGAATAAAAAATGGAACTGAATGCAGAAGATATATGATATATTTTATATGAATTATTCAATATATAATACAAATATCTATATACTTACTAAGACACTCGAGAGAGACTTTGTTGTTACCCAATACAACGATCGAGAATTCTCCAGTTTCTTTTGAATCAGATGTTGTCACAACCAATACGTATATCGTGCCAACATCTAGATGAATATCAACTTTGAATTGATCAACAGAACTTCTGTCGCTATCGTCATCTGTTTTAAGCAAATTCTCTGAGGGAACAAGTGGATTAAATTTATTTTCGTAAATAGATCCATATGAGTCGATGTTACCACTACTACGAAAAGTGTAGTAACCAGTTTCAATCACCTTCACTTGAATGGATTCATAATACAAATTTTGTTTGTCACACTCTCGGTAATAAATCTGATTGTTCTTAGTCAATGACGATGGGTACATATTTTGGAAAACCGAGGAAGTTTTATCTAAATAAACAATAAAATCAGCTAAAGTTTATCGTAAGTACACAGAAGTACAATTCATTTTTAATAGGATTTTTTTACTTTAAATATACGCCCTGACTTATTGAATTAGTAATTTGCATTCAAAAAGTTAAAAAAACTATTTCTTAATCACAAAGTATTTGAAATAAATTGAATTTAGTCCATAATATTGTTTATTTTTCGATATTTTTGAAAAAAGAAAACATTATGTAGGTCGAACAGTATCGAAGAGAATGTAGTCTAATTCTTTGATCGATATACACAGCAATGCTTGACTTTTACATGAAACTTAAAAATTCGAAACAGAATCTGTCAGATGAAGAGTGAGAGAGGGAAACTTCGAAATCATTAGATTTAACAGAGGATTTTTTTCGCACTCGATCAAATAAAACATATTGTTCATGTTGATCAGATAGTTTCTAAATAACACGTACGTTCTATGTTTTGTTCCTTTAATAACAATCAAAATCTTCGATGATTTTTCTGATCTGATAGCTATATCTTCATATCTTGAGGGTGAGAATGTTTAAAAGAAGAACAACTATAATCAATTGAAATTTCTTATCTCAAATAAACTTACTAAATTTATAATGAAATCCTTAAATTAATCAATTATTTCATTTACACAATTTTATTCTTTTCGATCAAAGAATTTTCATGTACAGTATTTTCTTTTGCTTCGAACCTTAGTTTCTTCTAAGGAAAACTATACAACTTTTCACTATCAACATTCACATCACATCATCTCATTCGATTATACTTCAACTTACCACAAGACTTTTTTAAATGTTTAAATTTTTGAACTCGATGATTTGATGTATCAGTAACAAATATGTTTCTATAACGATCAAAAGTAAAGCTAAATGGGCTAGATAATTGATTGGATTGCGAGCCCACGCCATAACATCCAACTAAACATCGAAAACCATTCAAGCTTGAACCAACAATGCGATGATTATTTTGATCTATAATGAATAAATACTTCTCAGCATCTAATATAATTGCAGTAGGATAGTTAAGTTCAATTGTTTCAGGCAGTGTATCTCTTCCAGCCACTGTGTTGCCATTTGATTTTCCAGACTGAAACAATTGAACTCGATGATTGAAACAATCTGCCACATATAAATCAAAATTCACATCGACAAAGATTCCACTAGGTTCAGCCAGTTCATCTAACCTATCTCCGGAAATACCTGTTCCAGCAGCGATGAGGTTTGAAGCCATCACAGAATCATTCAATGATTTTTTCACAACTTGATGATAGTCAGGCATTGAACAATAAAGAGTATCATTGATATCGACAAACAAACCATGACATGATGAGTTGACATTCATCACCGTGACAAAGGTATTTGTTTCTGCACTCCATCTCTGTACTTCACCATTCTTCTCACCATCATCAATATAAATATCACCATTTGATGTCACAAAGAGAGAATTGGGTTTTGTAAAATTACCATAGATGATCTCTGTTGGATTGTCACTCTCTTCATCCCACATTATAATTGCGCTGTTTTCTTGATTAGTAATATAGATTCTGTTGTTTGTGTTTACAAAAATGGCGCGAGGAGTTCGGCCAACAATCGATTGATTAGCAAAGGTAATTCCATCGGAATACCAAATGGCCCCTGAACAAAACTTTAGCTGATTGAATGAAAGAGCTAAAAACAAGAAAAACAGAAAGAATACTAGAGAAGAACTATAAACGTAATGAAATTGTTAATTATTATATTCCTAGAAGAAAACTAAAGTTTCTTCAAAGAAATTTTTGATTACGAAGATATTTATGAATGTTTGTTAAAATTGATTTGGAGAATAAATTCTATTAATTTCCATATGAAATATGAATTGTTATGTTGTTAAAATATTTTTGTTTACAACATCGATATAGATCTTTTTGGATAGAAAATTCTCCTATTACTTTCTGTTGAGAAATCTAGTGGAAGTACTGAATAGATTGTATCAAAGAAAATAGTTGAACAAAAGAAATTATTTATCTAAGGAAAAATAATCAAGAGAAAATAAGAAATTTTTATCAATCAAATTTCTTTCTTTGCTATTTTCAACGTTTCCTTCGCCTTTCTCCAGTGAATTTTAATTATTACGCTGATTTTTTTAAAATAATTCTGCAGATATTCCATTGCAGATCTTTCTCTTCGAAATATTTACTTAAACTCAAATTTCAATTTTCAAAACATTTATTCAAAGTTTCTCAAACTTTTTTCTGATAAATGCTTAAAGTTAATTTAGAGAAGAAATCAGAGGGAAAAGATAAATGTCCCTACGTCATCTCAGTTGTCTATATTAATGGGAATATAACTTGATTTATCTTAGTAAATTTCATTAAAAAATGAAAAATAGTGTCATTACACGTCATATCGATACCGAATGAAAAGAAAAGAAAAATGAGACAAAAAATAAGATTTATTATGATCCTCAAAAGTTCTTCTTTTCTCTTTATAGACATTTTTCATATACATTCTTGCTCGAAGATATTTTATCTCAAGAAACTTGAAAGATTCATCAAAGATCACACATAATATTGTCTCTATTCAATCTAAATAAAACAAATCTTGCTTTGTAATTTTGATAGTATTTTATAGATTTTAATGTTTTTCCTATGAAGTAAAAAAGAAATCATTCTGTTGAAACAAAACCAATCATTAACTACACATCTTGAAGAAAAAAGTAAAATAAATACTTGTACAGTTAACAAATATTTTATTAATCAGACAAAACGTTTTCTCATTGAAGTTTAGAAATGTAAAAAAAACTCTGTTTATTGACTTATGTAAAATATTCATTTAAGAACCAACTAGAATATATTCGATAGAAAATCAATTTTTCTTATTGATCATCTCAAATAAGTGAATTTCATTAAACAAATAAATATTTTTATTCAAAATCAGCTCAATAGATTTTATTTGTTTTATCAAATAAAAAACTTTTTTCTGCTATAGAAAATATTCTTTGTTTACAATTATAGAAATATTAACACGTATATCTGTTATTGACGATTATATATATCACAATATCGATTCCCTTCAATTATTCATTATTACTCTCTGGAATTAAATATTATGATAATTATTGAAAGAACAAATTACCAATCAAACATTTCTTTATGAGAAATTTCATTCTATAATATTTCGTATTGAAATTTATCTCTCTCAAAGAGAAACAATGACTAAGTTCACTTTTTCGCATAAGAAACAAGAAAAATTAGTTGTTAGAACTGTCACATTTTATTTGTTTTTTTCTTGAATCAAAACATATTGAAATATGAAATATGAAGCAGAGATGGGCACGGTTCGGTTCATGGACCGAACCGAACCGAACCGAGCCGAACCGAGCGGTTCAAACCGACACTTATCAAGATGATGTCGGTTTCGGTTCGGTTGAAATTTTGAGCACATCGGTTCGGTTCGGTTAGAATTTTGAAAAACATGAACCGCGCCCATCTTTGATCTATATTATCGTCTGTCGACATATACGCACAATAAGAAATGAAAAAGAAGATGTCGTACATGTTACAGTGTCATCGAGATATATCTTTTATTTTTCTTTTCTTTGTCTCTCTCTTCCTATCTCGTACAGACGAAATAGATGATCATGTATGTCGTCTATACGAGATAGGAAAGAGAGAGAGAGAAAAAGAAAAGAAAAAAAGATATATCTCAATGGCGCTATAACACCTACGTAGTAATGAAAACATTATTATATTTTCTCGTCCATGTCGTCAAAGAAAATTCAGGCGTAAATAAACGAATTTTAATTCAAACGAAGAAAATCAACTAGATTGTTTTATATTATTAGTTGTTGAACATAAAATCTATCGAACATGAATATTTCTCCTGTTTCAAATATCCATAATACTATTGAACTTGATTCTTCTTCTGATTCGAATGATGATCATCGATCGACTTCATCTTCTACTGCATTATATTCATCGACTCATTCATTAACTAATTCCGATTCTCCACAATCACTCTCTGCAGAAAATATTGCTTCGAAACTTAAAGTTAATAAAAAAGAATGGACAGTTATCGATGTAAAAGATAAAAAAAGCTAATTGTTGGCGTTGTTTTAGTATTCCTGCACAAAGCGTTGATCGAAAAATTAAAGAAATTTCTAATACATTTATGTCGTGTAAATATTGTTATGGAGCATTCGTATTCATCCAGCACAAAAAATATGAATAAACATATAGATATTTGCGATGGTCATAATCTTAAACAAAGTCGTTGTACGATTTACCTTTAAATAGTTTACTATTTTGAAAGTGATATAGATAAAAGTATAGAAGATTAATAAACCTTATGTTAATATACATTTCAGTCGAGATTATCTGTCAAAATAACACGAATGAATCCCAAACAATATTAAAGTATTTTATCTATGAATTAATAAATGTTTGAATCATGTGATTCGATTCGGTTCGGTTCGGGTCGGTTCTTTTTATAGTAGATTCGGTTCGGTCCGGTTTGGTTTAGCGTTTTTGATTTTTCCCTATCTTCGGTTCGGCTTACTTTTTCAGATATCGGTTTCGGTTCGGTTACAATTTTGAAAAACACGAACCGCGCCCATCTTTGATATGAAGTCAAATCCTAGAATAATTTATACTAAAACTATAACGACAAAGATATGAACAGATTTTATTTCGATAAAAACTGTTTGATTGATAAAATATTCTTTCAAACATATGAAATGAAACATGAAAGTCCTTTCTATCATCCCATTGAGGACACAGCTTTTTCTTTCTTTATTTTTTAATCTGAACAATTCACTTCATTAAACACATTGGTTTAATTAACCTTTCTCAACCATTTTTGGTTTCTTTCGCTTTTTATATTGAAATATCTTCATTAACTTCTATTACTTATCTGTTCACATCTCATCATTTTCTTCAAGTTTTCTTCAACTTACCAAAAGAATCTTTCATTAATAAAAATTTTTGAATTCGATGATTTGATGTATCAGTAACAAATATGTTCCCAGAACCATCGAAACTCAAACTGGATGGTCCATCCAATTGATTAGATTGTGGACCCTTTGCATAACATCCAACTAAACATCGAAAACCATTCAAACCTGAACCAACAATGCGATTCTTGTAGTAATCTGCAATGAATAAATATTTCTCAGCATCTAATATAATTGCACTTGGACAATAAAGTGTAATTGTTTCTTTTAGTGATGTACTTCCAGCTACTGTTATGCCATTTGATTTTCCAGACTGAAACAATTGAACTCGATGATTGAAACAATCTGCCACATATAAATCAAAATTCACATCGACAAAGATTCCATCAGGACTACTGAGCTGATTCGAGCCATCTCCTTCAATACATGTTCCAGCAGCAACACGATTTCCAGTCATTACAGCATCATTTAATGATCTTTTCAATACTTGATGATGCTCGTACATTGAACAATAAAGAGTATCATTGATATCGACAAACAAACCATGACATGATGAGTTGACATTCATCACCGTGACAAAGGTATTTGTTTCTGCACTCCATCTCTGTACTTCACCATTCTTCTCACCATCATCAATATAAATATCACCATTTGATGTCACAAAGAGAGATCGGGGTTCTGTGAAATTACCGTGAATGGTTTTTGTTGGATTGACACTATCTTCTTGCCACATTAGAATTCTGCTATTTTGTCGATTAGCAACATAGATTGTGTTGTTTGTGTTCACAAAAATGTCTGTAGGATATATACCAACAATCGATTGATTAGCAAAAGTAATTCCATTGGAATTCCAAATAGGTGTTGGAGAAAACTTTGGTTGATTGAATGAAAGAGCTAAAACGAGAAAAATATAAAAAATATTAGACAGGTACTGTAAACGAAATGAAATTGTTAATTTATGTTTTTTCTTGAAAAAATTCATTCAGATTAAGTTTGAAAACATTTCTATGGTTGTTGTTTTATTTTCTCGAATGATTTGCAAATATGAACCAAGAGAAGGCTGAATTCATCGAAGAAGATCAACTTTATTTATTGATTATTTTGTTGCGAAAGAAAAATAATTATTTTCAATCCTTGAAAAGATATGATTATCATTGAGGACAAAAGAATAATGAAATAAACTTTTTTATTTGTTCAACGAAAATGAATTCGATGGAGGAAGAAAGAATTGTTTAGGATGAGAATGACTTTATTGAAATTAATTGAGATCTAAACAAAATGCTTTTGAAATTCAAAATCAATTCTCATTTTCATATCAAAAACATTGTGAATTTATTGATATTGAATCATTTCAATTGAATCTAATATATGAAAGGAAGGAAATGATTCTCTTGCTAATCTAAAATTAAATAATAATTCGAAGAAATTATTTAACAAAAATATTTTAAGATAAAAATAAAGCGAAAATATGCTTTGTTTTCTTATCAATAGTATATTTTTGTTTCTTTTGAAATTCTCATCAAATTAAATAATAGAAAGGGCGTGGGTGATATGTAGAATCATGTTCCGTTCATTCATGTCGACACCAACACCAACCAACCCACGTTCACACCGACACCTACGCCCATACCCACCCACATCCACACCGACACCGACACCTACACCCACACCGACACCTACGCCCACACCCACCCACATCCACACCCACGTCCACACCCACATCCACACCGACACCTACGCCCACACCCACCCACACCCACATCCACACCCATGTGCACACCGACACCTACACCCACACCCAATTTTAGATACAAAATTAAAAGCTTCACTTTGGTTTTCACTATCAAATAAATGCCATGTCTAGAAACAGTCGGTCATTCTATTCGTTCTTTTGAATAAAATATTCAAAGATTTCTCCAATGTGACACACATATGATTCATATTTCATCACTAATAGTTATGTCAACATTTTATGATTTCAATGCAGTTTAACAATAAAATGAATCGCTGGAGAGAGATGCATTCTCTAAATGAATTAGATTGGAGTATAGAAGGGATGAGAACCATCACTTTTGAATGTATAACAGAAATTCCTGTCAAATTCTATAATCTATTATTTCACTCCCCTCTGTTCAACTAAAACTCTAATGAATAATGTCATTTGTACAATTACTAATCTTCAGTATGTGATAAATAAAAGTATTTACCTGATGTTTCATTGTTGAGAAGGAACATAAGAGTAATGAGAAATACGTAGATATTCCACATCATTCAACAAGATTTGTTTTTGATAAATTAGTTAACTAATAAAATAATCTTCTCCTTCTGCTTTGTCTTCGATGAAAACAAAATGACACTGGTTGCAGATTTTCTCTCTAGTTATATATCTCTCTTTTTCTCACATTTATTTCTTCCAAGATAACACAAAGAGAAAAAATTAGTGTTCTAGAGAAGGTTTCGTCGTAAGTAAGATAAAAAATTAATGATTCAATTTAATATTTTCCGTTGGATTTCATTGCTTCCCAAAGCATAAAATGAAATTTAAATTGGAAATTATCCTTTTCTTTTTTTCAATTTTATAGAAAAATCTATGATTTTAGTGAAGAAGAACATGATAAAGAAAGAGAAGAATTGATCAATATTGATGTCAATCATCAGACATGTTTTTAATGAAAATACGATATTAAAAATCATCATCAATAAATAAATCATGGTTAGTTTGATATATTTTTATTTGAACCTGTCAAATAATTTGCTTTGTCAGGACTCAATTTTAATAACGTTTTTTGGTTCTCTATGAAGTAAGTATTTTTGTATCAGATATATAAAAAGCAGAATTGTTCATCGCATTACGATGTATTTTTCTGAAGAGCAGCAAAAAGATGCATAAATTCAGTTCTAAATTTAATATATGCAAGATCAACACTCTGAAAATAAACGGATCTCATCAATTAGGAGTAAAAGTTCTATCCACAAATAATCAAAGTCATGAAAGTCAGATGAATTAACTAATATTCATTGCAATCCAGCAGCGACGAATTGCCAATCATGATAGATATCTGTAATTTAAATTGATTTTTCAACTAGAGATCAAAAACGAATCAGTGTTGTGGGTGTGAGTGTTTTGTTCTTCTCTTACCCACACCCACCCTTGGACGATGTGATTTTCGACGAAGAGGCTATATACCGAGCAGAATAAATCGTTTCCTACGTCTTTTTTCATATTGTTGTTTCACGATTGTATTTTTCTTCTGAGTGAATTGATTTTAACAGTTCTTTACTATTTCAGATATTTTTTATTCTAATTTTGAATTCCACATTCATTAGGATCATTTTTCATTCTATTCTTACTATCACATCATCAAAATTTTATGTGACTGAAACTTCATTCATAATTAGTTCTTTAAACTCATTATTTATCGCCCTATATCAGTACCGGAACCGGATCAGTTGTAAAAAAAATCAATCGGCCGGTAGAGATAGACATTTCACGGGTTGAAATTTGTCGAAAGTCTTCTTTGTTGATTCTGCTTCTCACCATCAAAAACTAAGATACCACATAAATTTCTGGTAGAGTTGGTAAAAAAGGGAACAAAGCATAGGTTATTGAATTACCTGTTGTGAGAATCATTTTAAAAAGATATTTTTTTGTTGGATGTCTCATACATGCCATTCGAAACTGCACTCTCGCACAAAAGTCTTTCCCTTCTTTATTTCTGGGCTATCATACTTTGTATAAAATTTATTGCCAAGTAGAGATATAACTTGAGAGTTTTATTTCAATATGATATACAAATCACAATACAATAAAACTCTCAGATCATATCTCTACTTGGCAATAAATTTTGAACAAAGTATGATAGCACAGAAATAAAGAGGTAAGAAAGACTTTTGTCCACGAGTATCTTATATTTGGATCCATTTTTCTATAGGAATTGTTTTTCAAAAGAATTTGAGATTTTTTCGCTGTTTTTTTGTCTGTTTCATCTGAATTTTTTCGGTACAACATGTGATTTCAATCGATTAGTTTACCGACGAGGCTAGTTTATCATTTCGTAACCGACTCTCGGTACTGATCCATATTATGTTGCAAAAAATAATTATTCTTAGGAACAAAAGTGAAAACGATTAAAATACTCGAAAGAAGTCGAAGTCTTCGAAATATTTCATTTTACAAAAAATATAGAAGTATCGTATAAATACACAGTACAAAATCGGATTTTGTAAACCGGAACTTGTATTTTTTCAAAAATAAAATTCTATTATGCTAATACGGTCCTCATGACAATTCTAATAAATCAAAGCCGATATAAATACAAATAATCATACACTGAAACTGTACCCGGGCAGACAAGGAACGAAAAATACGGCGTTTCTACGCGTAAAAATGTGCACCTTTTACGCTTGAAGAAAAATTCTTTTTTTGTAGAAAAAGTCGAGCTGCTAACAACAAAGGATGTGTCCATCATTTTGCTTTCAAAAATGTTTTTTTTCGTCGCGTTAAAAGCGCACATTTTTACGGGTAGAAACGCCGTATTTTTTATATTTTTTTTTGAAATCAAAATGTTGCTCTGGCAGATCAATGTTGCCACTGCTCCGCACAATTTCGTCATCGCAACATGTATTTAATCGGTGGAGATTATTTACCTCTTGGTAAGTTTGTAATAAGTAACTTTTCTTCATAACATGTGGTGTACGGCATCTACTGTGTCTTTATAGGTATTGTATTGAAAAAAACACAAGAAAAAATAAAATTTGTAAAGACAAAACATATATTGTGCATTCGATACTATCGAGAAAAGCGCTGTTTGTTAATTTTATTTTTCTAGATCAATAACAACCATGAAACTTTTTCTTGATATATTTACCGGTGATGAATTATGCAGCGATTCATATCCAATGAAACTTGTTGACGACGTTTACTATGAAGTTGAAGGCAAAAATATCTCAGAAAGTAACGACATTGATGATTCATTTATCGGTGGTAATAAAGCCCCTGAAGACAGTGAAGCGGCTACCGATGAAGGTGGTGTTTCATCATCAACAGTAACTGGTATTAATGTCATTTTAACTCATAAATTAGTAGAAACACCATTCGATAAAGCAGGTTTCAAAGATTGGTTAAGACAATATTCAAAAAAACTTAAACAATATCTTGAAGAAAATGCACCTGATCGTGTACAACCTTTTCAAGCAGGTATGACCAAACTGGCCAAAGAAATTTTATCAAAATTCGATGAATATACCTTTTATCTTGGTGAAAAGATGGATCCTGATGGTATGATTGTTCTTCAATATTATCGGGAAGATGGTTCAACACCTATCTTCATCTACTTTAAAGATGGTCTCCGAGAAGAAAAATACTAAATAAAAGCAACTTAATTAACATTGTTTTCTAATTATCATCATCTTTCTTTTTCTCACATTATGGCTTGATTTTCTTTTGTTCAAACGATTTTCATTAAAATATAAATGATTAATATCTGTTTTCTTTGTCATTGTTGAACAGTATGAAGAAAAATATAAGGAAATAAACTAAAAATTTCTAAAGAAACAAAAAAGATCCCATCCGATCAGATACATGTTGCGATGACGAAATTGTGCGGATTAGTGATACCACTGATCTGCCAGAGCAACATTATTATTTCAAAAACAATAAAAAATAGCTGATAAGATATTTACGTAATTTTCATAGTTCTTTTGAAAGAAACTGAACTGTGTCACCAGTTTTTTGAAAAGAACTGAACTGTATCAACAGTTCTTTGAATAGAACTGCACTGTGCCATCAGTTCTTTGAAAGAAACTGAACTGGTAGTTCTATTGACCAGTTGATCCGAACTTGGAACTACGAACAGTCCTATCCCTAAGTATGCATACTAACGAATAACTTCATAGTATATGATGAGAATTATTTTTCAGATGTTTATCAGTCTTTGTGAACAATAATAATTATATAATAACACACCATCAACACGAATTAAATTTATTACATTCATAAGAAAAATAACGTTGTTATTCTTGCATCTTGTCGATATATTCTTTTTTTCTTTCAATCATCGGGATTATGTCAGACAAAACAAAACTAACATCATCGTGAGGATGTGTGTGTTAGAAAATGTTAACTGAGACAGTTATTCTAATTTGCAAAAGAAAGCAATTGAACTAAAAAAATTTGATTCGATTCCAAATACTTTCTTTTTTGTAAATATAAGATAGCTCATTTTTCCAGATACATTTTTAAATTGTGTATTTCATTTAGGATTATTTTTCGTCGTAGATTTTGCTTTAAATAATTCCATCAATTTTTAATTAATGTAAAATTAAAAATTTCTTCTGTATTTTGAATTTTTTTATTTTATTTCTACCTTCATGGACTGTTTTCTCCTAAAATTATACAAAACTACTACACTAGTTTTTCTAGCGTATAATGTTTTTTTCTATTTTAAATAATAAAATCGTCAATAATAATAATTAAAAATCAAATTAAAATAAATCAAAAAATAATGTATGAGAAATAATAATGAAGACATGAGATTTTAATGCAAATTTAAATAGAGAAAATAAATGTAGAGTAAATGTAATGAAAACTTATATTTTAATAATAACGGGAAATTTTTGATCTTTTTCGATCATTATCAACCAAAAACACAACCAAAATACAAATATAATGAAGTTACAATTACAATTATATATAAACATGAACAACCATCTTCTCTTCATTTTACTGGCGTCTTATATAAATGAACGTATATGCAACGAAAGTTATTCAAATCTTGAACTACATTAGCATCTATAAAGGAAACATCCTATATTTTCAAAAACTCGCAATTTCAGGTCCGAATAAACCATTCTGTAAGATATAGAAATTTAATGAAGTTTTGATATTATAATATTAACTTAAGCTAACTGTATAATACGATACTAAATGAAGTGTCATCAATCATAAAGATACATGGATATTACAATAGAATAAATACTTCTAATCAGAAAACAACTATTTGTTTCTATGTTAAAGTCATTGAAATAGATGTATATCTCATATACAAAAATCCAATATATATTCTCTGCATAAATGTGGATATTCGTTGAATATTTTTCTATATTAGATCTTCATTTTCCATTCATAAATCGACAAAATTATGTTTAGAAATTATTTGAAAGAATTGAATAGTATTAGAAATATCTTATTATGAATGATCAATTATATAATTATATTTTACCATTACATTTTATACAAATTCTTATTTTATTTCAAACTACATAATAGTAATAAAAGCTGTTGTTAGTCTAGTTCGAACTATTTAATTCTTTCTTCTTAGTTTTATTTATCTAGGTCATTCGTTCTAAGCGATATACATAGATGACACTTTATCTATGCGAAAACATTACATTCGTTTAGATATCTTTTCTTTGTTCCAGTTTATGTATAAAAGGCGACGATTCATATGAAATTAAACATAAATTCGAAAGTATGTTCACTATATTTTGATTATCTATTATGTACTGAATTCTTTTTGTTTAGCTATTCACCACCATACACAAATCATTTAATATATAATCAATTGTTTATTTCGCAAAAGAAATATTATCATGAATCGCCTCTTATTCTTCATAGTTTTCTTAGCTATCAGTAAGTATTTAATATTAAAAATCATGAACAATAACGGTAGATTTATTTATATTTTAGTTGTTCAAATCGTGATATGCAAACATTATGGTGCTTGTGATAATACATGTATAAGAGGTGGTCATGTTCCAAAATGTTGTCGTGCTTACGGTTTTGGTGTAGGCTGGTGTGAAGGTGATATAGCATTTTGTGAATATGTCGTATAAATATCAGGATTCATTATATTAATCTCATTAGTTAGAATACAATTAATGTCTCAATAAAATTGTTTATTGTTGGTAGTTAAATTCTCTCAAATAAAATCTTGTCAATATATATGTATCTGAATTGTTTCTTTTTCTTTGTGAAGTCGAAATTTGTAAGATCAAGTTAGAAGATAGAATAGAATTAATCTATTTTTAAACAAATAACAGATGATTATAAAGTATTTTATGTAGATGAACATCGTCATCCTTTATATAATTTTAATACTCTAAGTTATTTGATATTTATGACAAATAAGTAAATTGTCTAATTCTCGACGATAAAAACAATGATCAGTTTCGGATATGATGTTTTTCTTGCTAAATGATAATTAATTCTCCATCGATTTTTCTATTGAATCAATGATAAATCAATAAATTAACAGTGCATAAACATTTTCTTTTGATAAACTTCAATAGAATTATTATTTCTACATCACATTGTTTAAACAAATATATCTACAAATAGTTAAAGATAGTAACCCATATCTTGAGGGTGAGGGTGTGCCATTGGATGTGAATGTTGTTAAAGAAGAGACAACCACACCCTTTTGTGATACTATTTAGTAGTGTGTATACTTTTAATGACGGTTATATATATATATATATATGTTATAGATTATCTTTTTTTTATTTTGTTTTTAAAAAAAAGTGTTGCTCTGGCAGATCAGTGTTACCACTAATCCGCACAATTTCGTCATCGCAACATGTATTTTTGATCAGTAATGATCATTTACCTCTTGGTAAGTTTGTAATAAGCAATTTTTCTCGATGATTCGTGGAGCACGACAAATGTTGTGTTCTTACACATTCTACTTTCTCTTGTGTTTTTTCAACATCATATTTTTAAAGACATAGTAGATGTCGTAGACAGCATGTCATCTAGAAAATTTGCTTATTACAACTTACCAAGAGAATGGCCAACTATCAATTTTATCGCGAGACAACATTGGGTTCTGCATTACAAGAGACACTTGATGAAATGATTTCGCGAAATCAATTAACTGAACAAGCAGCTAGTAAAGTTTTAAGTGAATTTGATCGATCAATTAATGAAGCACTTGATAAACGAATTCATAAAAAAGTTCATTTTTCTGGAAAATTAAACACGTATCGTTTTTGTGACAATGTTTGGACACTGATTCTACAAGACTATTCCATTAAAGAAAGTAATCCAGGTCAACATAATACAGGAACTGCAACTCCACAAACACGTACGGGCGCTAAAATTAAAATTGTTGCATGTGATGCAAAAAGTGGTCAACAATCTTAAAATAATTTCTATAACATTAATCTTGATATATACGTCATTTTTTTGAATCTTAATACTAATCGAAGTTCTTTTTTTTGGGATACATAAAATAAATAATGGATTTTTTCATCTTTTAGAAAAAAAAAATTTACTAATCAAATACATGTTGCGATGACGAAATTGTGCTGATTAGTGGTAACACTGATCTGCCAGAGCAACACTGTCCATTAAAAAACAATTAGAATTAGCTTATAAGACATTTATGTAACTTCCATTAGAAGTATGCATACTAACGAATAACATCATCAACTACAAGGGTGAACTGGATGACTTATTAGTATGTGGTGAAAATTATTTGTAAGATGTTTATCAGTCGTTGTGAACAATAATAATAAGATAATGACACACTATCGTGAGGATGTGTGTGTTAGAAAATGTTAACTGAGGCAATTATTCTAATTTGTATTAGAAAACAATTGAACTAAAAAAATTTGATTCGATTCCGGATACTTTTTTTTTATTTTATTTTTACCTTTTTCGACTGTTATTTCTATCCTATAATGTTTTTTATGTTAAATAATAAATTAAAATTAAAATAAAACAAATAGCATAATAGAGGAAAATCAGGTTTATTAGAAGAATCGATCAAATAATCCAGATTCACCACAAAAATCAGTGATTAATCGGTAATTGTTTGATGATTTTGAGGGCATGTGTAGAATTTCATTGCCTTCTCTACATATCGTTCTCCCGACGAAGTATGTGTCCATATTTCCACTGTTATTGTCTTTAATTTTTTACAGTTGCTCGTCGAAGTTTTCCATTCATTCCAATCTAAAAATTGATCAAGATTACACTTATCGGTAATAAGACGAACATGTCGAATATTGACCATGGTATTAATGAATTTTAATATTGTAGCCAGAAAACATGATTTGCATCCTTGAATACACTGGCTCATTGAAGGCAAAAGAAGCGGGCCTATTTCAATGAGAAAATATTCAACATTCCAATCCTGTAAACTACTTTGATACAGTTCATATCCGTTATAATGCGTACAGAATGCTCCAGCACAATGGATTTCGAATCGTTTGATGGGCTCGCGAATTTGTGATAAAATACTTCTTATTTCTAAGAAATTAGCTTCATTGTCATAGTACAATGAAAGACAGATTAATTTTGGAAAATAAAAAACATATTTGTTAATTTCGCCAACATGCATTGGATTGACAAGAGTGAGTGAGATAAGGTTGCTGAAGCTATGTAACATAAATGAAGGAATCTCTGGAAATAGTGGACTAGGATTAAGACGTAAAGAAACAATCTGTTCAGGTCTGATTTTCCAAAGAACCATATTGAAAAAGGTTGTGCTCGTTTGAGATATATGTACTTTTGTTTCATGTTCATATAATAATGGGAGAATACTACTAGAAAATGCATTTACCATATCATTTAATGAAAGGTATTGAACTATTTCAAGCATGACTTTTGAACAAAGACCACTACGAGCACTGAAGTCGAATGACTAAAATAAAATCAATTAGAGACACAATAGGAAAAAACAATTTACCAAAGTTTCTTCGTGATCATGACATTCTTTGTTAAAGATCTCTAATTCTTGTTTTAATGTCTCGCGAGTAACTGCCTCTTGAGTGCGTGTTAATCTATCACGTGTGAGCAATGATTTCCATTCATATTCAGATGAAGATAACCACGGACTTTCTTTTGAAGATTTTCGCATTATACCAATAAGCAATGGATATTGTTCCAGAGAATAATTCTCCAAAGGTCCAGCAGGTAACAATTTTTCCCAGATTTGTATCAATCTTTAAAAAAGAATTTAAAGATTTAATCTCGATGTAAATATTTTTGTGTTTATTATAGCACAATGAAAAACTGATTTACTTGTTTCTGTTTGACTCATATGTTATATCCCATGGCCAAACAATATAATTGTCAAGTAAATATTCGATCAAAGTCTCTGAACAAAAAATATTTGAACAAAAGACATTCGTGTAAGTACTCCAATCATGATGTATATAGAGAAGTACTGGACGACGCTAAAAAAAATAGTCTTCCATGTTCCGTATGTTAATCAAGCAAAGGTTAGCAAACTTCTTTGATGATTGTCGATTTGAATGCTTCTTGACAAGTGTTGTCAAGAGAATCTCGATAAAATACTGGACAAGCATTGTAACGATTCATAAAACAGGCAGATATATAGTCAATACCTTGAACTTCATCTTGGCAGTTGTCAGGAACTGTAAACGATAGATTATTGAGTGAGTCGTTCTTTTCTGTGGTATCAAATAAAGGATAACTTACGCGGAGGTTTTTTGATAGAACTATTGTCATCGTCAAAATTATCATAATCACTTTCGTCAGTATCAAAACTCTACATAGATAACAATAGACATTGGGAGTGATCAGTTTCGGTGGATATAGAGAGTATATTTACCATTATAACTATCGTTTCGGTTTTTATTGATTGCAGTGGTGGTCAAAAATCAACGACGGAATTGTTTTCGGTTGTTACAAAACAAAAAAACAATGTCGTATTGAGGTTTTCTGTGATGATTAAATACATCAATAAATAGAAAAAAACCCACTGCTGTTCTCTTATCAACAAAAAGTGCATCATATTTTTCTTTAAAAACACATACTTAAATGAAATGGTAGACGACAAAGAGAAAGCGGCCAGGTAGACATATTTACTTTTTCTTTATTCTTTTACTCAAACTCGTGGCGAATATAAAATACATTATATTTCTGCTTTTCTTTACTTGCTGTGCATCAAAAAAGTATAAGAAAGCAACATGAAAGAGTTTGGATGTTAGTATGATGTGGTTAACAAAATCATCGAATTATCATACTTGGAACTAATAAATTATATCAAAAATTCAGGGAAAACATCAGATAGAATATTTATTACTGTTTATTTAATACAATATTTTTCGTACATTATTTTTAAATATATTAGCTAAATATTGGGTGCCTTCATGGTCAATTGGATTACTTTGAAGACATAGTATTAAGAGTGTCTACATAAAATGATAATAGTGCATATTTTATAGACTACTATAGAAATGATCTCACTGTATTATTTTCTAATGCATTAGCTAGATATGTTGCTCCTTCGTTATCGATGTTGTTATTAGTGAGATCTAACGTTGTAAGTGTCTTTATTGAATGATTATGATAAATAGATAATGGATTTTAGTAAAAAAAACGTTGCCTTACTTTGTTAGTACATAATGCATTAGCCAGATATTGTGCACCTTCATGATCAATACGATTACAACGAAAGTAGAGTGTTGTCAATGACTATATGAATAATGATATGATAGAAATAATTAGTAAACTTGTCTTACTGTGTTAATTTCTAATGTATTAGCAAGAGAATGTATACCTTTGGCTTGGATACGATTATTACTAAGATTCAAAGTTTTGAGTGTCTAAATAGCAAGATATAAAGATAAATAAATCGAGAAATCATCTAACTGAATTATCACGCAAAGCAGCAGCCAAATATTCTGCTCCTTTATCGGTTATATGATTTTGCGCTAAATCTAGTGTGATAAGTGTCTGTATTACAAGATAATGATTTATATATGATACATGATTTAAGAAAATAGTTTACCTTATTATATTTCAGCATATCAGCTAAATAGTTTGTTCCGTCAATGTCAATTTTATTTTGTTGAATTTCTAGAACTGTTAGATTCTATTCGAAATAATAAAGTGCATAAAAGATGAAAGAAGCAAAAGTTTTTCCTACGGTATTCTTTTTCAATGCATTAGCCAGAAAATGTGCTCCTGCAACACCAATCGAGCTACGATTTAGTCTTAGAATTTTAAGTGTCTATGTTTTATAGTAATAATAAATTTATAATTTATGAGTTAAGAATTTTTCTTACAATGTTGGTTTCTAATATTTGGGCAAGATAATATGTTCCTTGATAGCCGATAGAATTATTACTAAGATTCAATGTTGTAAGTGCTACCTTATCATTTTTTAATGCATTGGCTAAATGATATGCTTCATGATAACCGAGATGATTACCATGAAAATCTAGAGTCTTTATTTTCTATATTGAATAGAAATAATAGATATATAATATGACAAATAAGTCATGATTCATCTTACTGTACTATATATTAATGCATTGACGATTGCCACTACTGTCTTGTTGTTTGCCACTTTGCGAGACAGATTCAATTCAGTGCATGTCTGAAATTCATTCATTTTTCTTATTATTTTATAGTTCTACAAATTACTAAGATCTCAAAGTTTTATTTTATTATATATCTAACTCGATTTCAAGATGGAAAATCTATAAGTATTGTGACTATATTATGTACTACCGTAGAATAAAGATAATATTCAAAAAATAACGTTATTGAAAAGACGAACAAGATCTGTTTTGCTCGTAAAATTAAAGTTTACCTGATATCGATCGTAGCTGTCTGTTATTGCATTGAGTCTTGCGCAAACGTTACGACAGGATATAATAATTGTTAATATATCAAGTTTATCGAGAATACGATAAAAAAGTTCAACTGGTAGTGTTTGAAAAGATGCAGTCATTTTATTGGATATGAAGCTTACGTTTTTGCAAAATGTATATAGTTCGAAACTTTCTTAATATTATGCAATTTCTTCCTGACACATAGAATATATTAAGTATGTTGAAACGAGCAACCATGTGCGTGTATATACAATAACAACATTTTTCATTCTGTATGTTAAGGTAATCATCGTGCTTGTTACTCGTGTTTTTTCGTCATATTTTAAGAAGAGAAAACATTAGATGATTTTAAAAATGCAGAATAATAAAATATTTATTGTCAGCAGTTCAATTTCTATATTTTTGGTTTGGATATTCTGTTTTTAAAATTCGGAGACACAGCTTTTTTTAAATATTACTATTAAGAATTTTATATTGTACTAAAACTTGAATTATTTTGAGAATAAATACAAAAGTTTTCACAAAGAAAGAGAAGATGCTAGTGAAGATTTACGATCTAACTAATTAGACAGATGTAAATATTGCTTTGGTACAATAGATTATCGTTAATACTTCTATGGAGAAAAGCAAGGTGATTTCTTTTTTATTCAGATTTTAAGTCTATCTCTTTTGGATCAGTATTTAGTTAAAATGTATGAATTTTAAAAAATATTATAAGTTCAATTTTTTTTTGATTAGAAAGAGCATTAAATTTTATATAATTTAATATGAGAACATAGAATGATAAACGAACTCTTAATTGATTGATTATCGGTTTAGTTTTTCAGATACAATTGTACGCAAAATATTTCAAATATATCATCAAGGTATACGTCTGAGACAACAGGCTTTCTGATTACTTGTTCAAATGCCACTGCTAGCACTTAAGTATGCTAGTTGATATCTCCATTATCAAGCAACAATGGATGCATTAGTAACAACAAGTAAACGTTTTCATGCACTGGAAAAATAGATGCCAGTTACCTACTGACGAACCAGGTCGATATATTAATGAAAGATGTGTATGATAATTTGTGTGTAAAAACAGTGATAGGGAATGATACAATTTTTAATCTCTATGGTTTAATAGTACTTTCAACTTATGTTTTATGTAAGCTCAAGGAGAATACAAAAAATAGAAATATGTGCTGCTTGATTTGTACATATCATGAGAGATGGATAAAGATGTGAATATGAGTTTTATTTCCTTTTCATCTCCACTCACATTTCTCAAGATAAAATATAGTTCTTATCATATTCGGCATGATCTTCTAAAACGATCAATAACAATATCTTTTCTTTCTTTTCATCAACCAAGAAAATGATTTGATAGAAGTACAATATGAATACTGCAAAAAAAAAATACTAACCTAAATTTTCATATTTCTATTACAAATGATATTTTAAAAACATTAGATAATAATTTCTACTTTAATGTGACAAAAAAGTAGTGACAGCGGTGAGATTCGAACTCACGCCCTTTCGGACCGGTGCCTTAAACCGGCGCCTTAGACCGCTCGGCCACGCTGCCTATTAATCCCGTCATCATATCCATCATCGAATCGTCATAACCACTTAAAAGAACAACAGAATGGAAAAAAACTTATGGCTATATAACATTTAATAAAGACGTCATATCAAAGTAAATGAATTATTCTATTTTGCAATCACAATTTTAATTTTGATATTTTTTTTCGTATAAAATGAAGATAACCATGATAACAAAATATTGTCGATGTAGAAAATTGTTTGCTTTGAATCATTAGCGTAACCGATACAGACTTTTAAAACAATATTTCGTCATCAATTGTATTTTTTGTGTAATTGAAATAAGTAGGACTAAACTTATATACTTCATTCATAGTATATTTAGTATACTTAAAAGTTGTACATAATTTTTCTATCACGTTTTCACTTCTACGTCAATATCTTTGCACAAAAATGGAAATATTAAATTAATTATTTTATTTTTGATTAATATAACATTTCTCCTTATCTATGCAAAAGTATATTGTTGTACTTATTTTGTATGTGAATTATGTATGAAAAATAATAATAATCTTGAGATTTTAATCAATTTAAATGAAAAAGTAAGTTTAATGTAGTTAATGTTGAAAATTAATATATTTTCGAAATTTTCGATCTTCTTTCGATCATTATCAACCTTTAACATAACCTTATAACAAGATGTTATACAAAATTAAAATCTCAAGATTATTATTATTTTTCATACATTATTGATACATAAGTAGTATTAAACAAATTGAGTATAATTACTTGTGGAATGAATTTAAGAACCATTCATGTTCATGTTTATGATGTATAAGTAAATGATTATAATTATGATGTATCATGACTATAGTTCTATATATTTATGTTTCATCTTTTCGTGTTCATATATTTGTAGAATCTCTTTTTGTATAACATTTTGTTATAAGATTATGTTAAAGGTTGATAATGATCGAAAGAAGATCGAAAATTTTCAAAATATATTAATTTTTAACATTAACTACATTAAACTTACTTTTTCATATGTGAATTAGTTTCTACTGCACATTCCTTTCCAAGTACATAAATTTAATCACGTGAACGAATATTTCAAAGATGATACGCAATAACAAAAGATATTCGAGTAAAGTTTTCTGTTTGAATTTATTCAAAAGCGATTTGTATAATCTATAATGAAACTTACACCCTTTTCCTTTATTTTAAAAAAATTGAAGCCTGTAAATCTAACTTGGGCGCATCAGTATTTGCTAAACCTGCGAATAAATTAAAATATTTTGTCTTGTAAAAATGTTTAAAACAATGAAAATTATTATATTTCGCTTCTTCCTACAGCATCTTTCTAGTTATTTACATATATAACCTAAAAAATAGAATATTTAAATGATCTTTCATACAGCGATTGTATATAATCATTTATGATTGATATAAATAATCTTTCTAAACAAATATTATGCAACATTCGGAATTAAAAATTACAATAGATGATTTTGAAATAATAATCAAGGTTTAAAAATAAAAATAATCGAAAAAAAAAGTAAACAAAAAAAAACTATTAAAGTATATTTATAGACTTTCATCCATACCTTTTTCTTATATACGTAGGTAGAAAGTCATGGTTTGAATAATAATCAATGCTATGGGAATACAAGATATATTTATTAAAATTTTCGAAGAATATTATTAAACATGTTTTTTCTTGCATGAATTAAAGTCATATCTCAAATAATTTATTTCGATCGATAAATCCTATCGGAATAGAATGGATTTCATATTGAATCGATTCATAATTTGACGTCTCGTGTTAACTGATTGATCCGCATTTTTTTAAATGTGAAATATCTTTTTGTATGTAGACAGTAGAAAATTATTAAGTATTGTGCCTCGTCGGTACATCATAAAATAACATTAATGTTATTTTTGTTGATTTTATCATTTGTTATTTAGCATTTACATGTTAACTTATCGAAAATTTATTTGCTTCTTTGGTTGTTGATCGAAATCAGATGTTAATATATTGAGAAACAAGCAATGAAAAAAGTGATACAAGGACAAATTTTTCTTTAATCATTAAAATTTTTTTTTCTTCATGTTAGAAAAACAAAGTGTTATTATATGACTTCTTATTGATTGATCAACACTCTCTTGACACAAGCAAAACTGATTTGTCTTATATATTTTTCGAATTCCAATGGCTTCCAGTGACTCAAATATATGATCACATCTTCAACAAGCAAAAGATGTTTTTACCATTTTTCTCAATAACTTATTCAGAAGTAGTCGAACAAATAAACAAAAGTGAGTTGTTATTTTGCACTTAAGAATTCAAAAGAAGGTAATGAAGAGTGTTGTTAGTGGCGGACTTGGAAGGGGTGCGTTAGGTGCAGTTGCATCCCATCAGAAAAATCCTAGATCCACCACTAAGTATTGTTTTTAAACCGAAATTGATATACTGATAAGTACATATAGAATCTTCGGTCTAATAAAATTATCTTTCTCAATACATTATTATCAGCTGCTCAAAACAGACAAAGAATTTTACCTTCATAATCTCTATGGATAAGAAACGACTTAAAAATTCTACTCATATTCATTTTTTACCAAAAGAAAAAGTAGATGTTCTATGTTAAAATACAAGAATGAAAAAAATAGTTATTTCGATGCATTTTAATTAGATGTATAAGAATCAAAAATACAAAAAATGAATACCTAGAAAAAACTCATTACCAAAGTTTATTTTACTATAATTTTCTACAAGTAAATACGATAGAGTTTGTTTAAATAAAATATTTTAAATTTCGAGAACTAATTAAATGACTATATAAAAGATTAAATAAATCCTTATTCAGATAGAATAATAAGCAATTCAATGGTTTTAACCCAGTTGGATATCATCTTCTGTGAATGTTACGTCATAATTTTTACTAACGTTTTATTTCTAGACATTGTTTTCACAAGTATAGACAAAATGATATTAAGATCAATAGCTCGGTGAGGAATTTCATGATTATATATATAGAATATAAATATTTAATTTTTTTTTTCGTATTTGTATTTAGATTGTGTAGATGTTTCAGAACTAGTGAGACAATAAAGATAAATGGTACAACAGTACCCGATGAAAACGAGCTAAATCATCATGGATCATTTGTTGTCGTCAAACATCTGGTAAGTAAAAGAATGAAATTCTAATGTCTATAATATACATCACATTGTCATAAACTAGCATTTAAATTCTTTTAAATACTAAAATTATAACCAAGGATGATTAGTAACGATTAATAACCCATGTAAAAATATTTAAAGAAAAATCAGATTATAATCGGTTAAAATTTGATTAAAAATCGATTTAAATCATACACCTTTAATCGATTTTTGACATTTTTAACCGGTTCTAATCGGATATAACCGAGAAAAACTCAACTTTCCTGGATTATTATGATAAACTACAATTAAAATCGATTAAGAATTTACAAAAAAATTGATTGTAATCGATGAAAACCGAACTATATTTTTTCATTTGTCATTGACAAAAATCAGTTATGATCAATTTTTTTGTGAATTCTTAATCGGTTTTAATTGTAGTTTATCATAATAATCCAGAAAAGTTAAATTTTTCTCAGTTATATCCGATTAGAACCGGTTAAAAATGTCAAAAATCGATTAAAGATGTATGATTTAAATCGATTTTTAATGAAATTTTAACCGATTATAATCATTTTTCAGTTGATTTTTACGCCAATATTTTTTACATGGGGAGACCCTATGGGATATTTAGAAAATGATATCTTTCATCTAAAAGGTATTCTTGATTAAATAGACTCCTTAGTATTTTGCATATTTTTATCTACATGTAATACTATTTGATGTCTGAATTTATATATGGAAATGAATCTAAAATTTGTATTTTTTTTAGTTGTCTTTTGGAAATATTGGGGATTATGTGATGATTATTTTGGGTGTTCTTGCAGCTGCTATTTATGCTATTGGACATATGTTTTTTGTTCTACTTTTTGGACAAGTAGTCAGTTTATTCGTCTCACGCATGACAAATCTTCAATGCAACAATCAGAATTTAACTTCATGCATATCGAATACTACAGGATTTAATAGCAGCATATCGAATGCCAGGTATTTTTTTTAACGTTTTCTTCCTAGTTTAAATAACTACTATCTATATACTTGAATAGTAGTATTTTAATACTGTTAAAAGAGATTATATCAGTGACTAGCAGATAGAAAATTAAGAAACAAGAATATAGACTGACTTAAAAGGAAAAGAGAAATGGAGATATGATTAAAATGATTGTAATACATTTAATGAAAAAAAAACATATCTTTTTAGTCTTTGTTCAACTGGTAATCAAACGAATACAAATACAGCTAATAGCCAAGATAGTACCGATTCGTTTCATAATGATGTTCACGCAAAAGTGATTCTACTTGTCGGTAGGTAGCTTTATTTTATCTTGATCAATATTATAACATTTTCTTTCTAGTGGTTGGTTTAATTCAATTGGTGGTCTGTTATTTTCAATATATATTCTTTGAATTAGCCTCAACTCGATTGACAAATCGAATACGAATTGATCTTTTCAAAGCAACTCTTGCTAGGGTATGTAACTCTTAAGACTAATGGTTATTCATATATCTCAATATACTATATAATTAAAATACTGTATCATCTTCGAAGAGGTTTTTTAGAATAAGACATTTACGAAAAAAAATGTTCGGGAATAGAACATTCAATTATCAGTTTTGTATTTAGCACAATTGTTTAAAATATAAATTGCTATTCGTTCTTCTTTTTATGTATGTCCCTGATTTTTTTTATTCTTTAGAATGTATCATATTTCGACACTACAAAAATATCAATCAATAATCTATTTGAGTAAGTCTTTATCATTTGATTACTGATCGGTTTTGCAACAAGAAATTAACTAGATACACAATTAAATGGCATAGGTTTTTCATAGAATTAGATGAGAAAGAATCCATCATCAAAGAAATGATTGCATTAGTAAAATCTATATCTCTATATTCTATAAACAACTGGTCAAGAAAATTGATAGTAGACAGTTAAAATATTATTTAATAAGATTATTCTTACATATTCACCAAATTAAATTTCATTTGTTTTGTTTGCAGTAATCTTGCTATAGTTCAATCTGGTATTGGTTGGACAAGCTCAGCAGTGTTGTCTGGTGCAATTTTTGTTGTTGCTGGCCTTATTCTTGCATTTATTACAGATTGGACACTTACTTTAATCGTAATAGCTTCGGAACCATTGAGCGTAGGTGCTGCATTTATGTTATCGAAGGTAAATTCATTATAACAATGAGTAGTTACATTAACTCTTGTTTTTTATTTTATATTTTTTAGCTGACGGCTCAAACAACTATTTCAGAAATGAAATCCTATGGACATGCAGGACAAGTCGCCGAAGAAGTACTTACGACTTTTCGTACTGTTACTGCATTTAATGCACAAAATAGTGAACAGACACGGTAAATGATTGTATTGATTACTATTGTAGAAAGTAGTCTTATTATCAATAAGAACAAGATTTATGAAAAAATTCTTAATGAGTACTATAATGATGGATCTATCTAATAGAAAGACATATAACATATTTTAGATCTGGATAGTAAATAGATATCTGATTACATTTAACGTCATGCTTTGCCCTTATTGTCGTCTTATAGTCAAATTAGTTAGAGACCATAACTTCTTATTTCATGAAAAGTCTTCTATAAAAAAATACAATCTTCTTAAAATGTGTCTATATTGATTAAAATTAATGATGGTGCCAAACTCAATAATTCATTGTTTTAATTTCAATATTTCTATACATTAGATACGCCTCAAAATTGAAAAATAACACAAAATATGCACTTCGCAAAGGATTTATGTATGGTTGTTATGTCGGAATACTTTCGATTTTCACTTATTGGACGACAGCACTCGGTTTTCTTGCAGGAATATGGCTGCAAACAACAGGATTACATCCTACACTTGATATTAGTCAAATCGTCGTGGTATTTATAAACTATTTTAATAATAATTAAACTGTATTTATATAAATATATAGGTTGTCACATTAGTAACTGAAGGAATACAGTTTCTTGGTTATTTAGCGCCAAGTATGAAAACATTTCTTGATGCATGTGCTGTTGCGTGGCCAATTCTACAGTATATTGAGGAAGCCGAGGTAGGCATTTATATTAGTAGATTAGTTGCTGATGACTTAATCATATTTTAAGGAGATCAGTATTAACTTGTGACTGAACTAATTTCTTGTATTCTTTATTACTAGAT